GGCAGGCATGCGCGGACAGGGGTGTGCTGCGGGACGTCTTGTTGGTGGTCGTCATAGCGGAGGCCATGGCGCAAAATTGTCGAAGCGGTTGGCGGACTTACCCGCCTCCCGGGCGCAACACCAATGACAGCAAGGCCGGCTCGAGCGGGCCAATTGGCCGTACAGACAGCGTTCGCGCAGGACCACTGACAGACACCACAAAACGCCAACAAGGATTCAGGCCATGTTAACTGCGCCGCGGCAAGGACCCCTGCTGTTGGCCAACCACTCCCCTCGCGCTTCGCAGAACACAGGCCAGAGCGCATTTCAGATCTGAGAACGTGGCCGAACAGAACGGATCAAAGACACCCTGGAAAGCGAAGCCGGCGCGCCCCTCACGTTCCATCGGATGCCGAAGGCGTCGACGGATGTATTTTCTGGCATCGCGCCCACAGGCGCATCTCTCCCGCCGTTCGCCGCCTCGCGCCCTCGACCCACGAGTCCCCCGCATCAACTCGCGCCCCACACGCCCGGCCGTCCGCGACGTCATTTTCGAGCATCACCCCATCCTCTCCGCCCGCGCCACCGCTGGGGCTGGCGATCTGCTCCGGACAACGCGCCTGCTCCATCGTCGGCGCGATCGAGCCCTGCTGCTTGGCTTCCTCGCCCACAGGCAGTCCAGACACGCCCTGGGCCCGGCGCGAGCGAGGCCGCGGCGTGGCGCCTCGGCCGCACCCATCCCGGGCAAAAGAGCCCATCCCGGGGCGCAACTCCTGACTGCCCCAACGGGTGGCGCGATTGGTAATGCCCGCCCCGTTTGAAGCCCCATTTTGGAGCCAGATTGGGTGCGTCGACACCCGCCGACTAAGCGCCCGGCAGTTGCGAAGAGCTTGAGCAAGGACGCGTCGGAGCTTCACCGCCACACTTTGGGTGCTGGGCCCCGCCACACCGTCCCACCCCCCTTCCCGTGCGCCCCGTTCTCACACACCGCTCACCGCGACGCTCAAGCTCGAGGCGCAGTTCCCGTGGCGCCCTCCGCGATCAAGGATGGGGGCGCCACGCAGGATTACCAAGTACGTGCCGCCAGCCCTCCTGCTGGCGGTTCTGCTGGGCCTTTGCCGCATGGCAGCGCCGCAGCTCGCCTGCCCGATCGAAGGTGCGCTGATGCCGACTCCAGACTCGCATTTGGCCACACCCATGGCCGCTCAGTCTTCCCCCCTTCCTCTGGGTGACGGATTGTCATCGGGGCGCAGAGCCGGAAGCCCCACCTCCAGCCCCGGACAACGATCCGACCGCGCTGATCGCCGGGGGCACCCCCGCGGTGCCCTGCCGGTACTCTTACATGGCCTCCCTGGCCATCGAAATGTTCGGCCTGAATCACATCTGCGGCGGCACGCTGGTGCACGAGTCCTGGATCCTCACCGCGGCCAGCTGCGTGGACCCGCAGTTCACGGCGCGGGATGTCTCCAACCCGATGGCGCTGCTCAACGGCCTGGAATGGAGCAAGCCCGAAACTTTCCGGGAGGTGGGCGACTGTTGGTGATTGGGCGGTGTCTTGGCGGCCTGGAGATCCGCGCCCTCTGCCGCGCACGGGTGGGAAGGCTCGCACGGCAAGGGCACCCGAGGGTGGATACGGCTTCGCGCGTGGCCAGCATTGATGTTCGATGGCGTGCAGACGCGCCGCGAGAACAGCGGCGCTGTGCCGCTTGGCATCTGAGGGATGGATGCTGGGAAAATCGCAGCCGATTGTGCGGCCGCGTGCAGGGTTCTTGAGGGTGTTCGTGGCTGCCGCTGGGCGTGGATTCCCTGAGAACCCCTCTCCGCGCAGTTCCGACAAGGGCTGCTCTGCCTTTTGTAGCTTGCTCTCTGGTTTGTGCACTATGTCCTGGGCTTGCTGCACCTTCAGCTGCCAGAGGCCACGGTGTTGTCACCTGTGCCAATCATTCAGAGGACGTGCCGCCCAGTGCCGTCTGTGCCCTGTTGTGCACAAAGCGTACATGTTTGTCGATGTTCCGAAGCCTGGGTCATGACTGTGACTTGAGGCAAAGGAAACGTATCCTGCAGTGTGCTAACCCATCCTGGGGAAGATTAGTGCATCATTCTTTGCCATACAGTTGGGAGTTTCATACTGTGGAATCCTCCCCTCAAGTCAAAACGCCACTTGCTTTCGCAGGTTTGCATTTCACTTGTGGGTCACCTTGCGCTGTTGGCTCCAATACTGCACTGCCAGCAAAGCCTGGCAAATGTATTGAACACCCCACAAGTAGTGATACTTGGGATCAACATTGCCCGCAACTGGCTTGACCAAGGAAACAGTGCTGTTTTCCTTACTCTCAACAGATGCAGTGCTCCTTGCAGCTGGCCTGCTGGTCCCAACTTTGAAGAACTCAAAGCTCCTGGCTGCCATCACCTCCTACTTTGTGCAACTGCCGATCAGCTGCCACCGCCTTGATACCATTAAACACACAAAACTGTTGTGGTACACTGGACTGCCACGTGCCGAGCACATCAATGCAATGCCTAATGCAAGTTGCTGTTGTGCTCAGAACATTGCGACAGTTGCAGAGGAGCTCCAAGTCCACCCCTCATACAAGGGGGACCCCGATAGTGGGTACAACGTGGCATTGCTGAAGCTTGAGGTTCCATCGAATCAAACCCCTGTTGCACTGATTGCACCTGGTGAGGACCTGCAAGCGGATGAGCTGGTTGCGATGGCGGGTTGGGGGCGGTCTGCAGGTACCGGCGCGTTTTCAGCCACGCTGCTGGAGGCAACGGACATTCAACTGGTGGATCCAGATGCTTGCACTGGGTTTGGTGTTGAAGACAACACCAAGGTGTTTTGCACAGGCTTTGGGGACAAGTCTTCTTGCAAAGGTAGGGTGTGAGTGGTGGCATCTGTTCAGGTGTTCTCGCGAACAATCGAATCCTGCCTTCTGCCCGCATCGAGTCCATGACATGCACCTGTCATAAGGCCTGGCCGCTTGAGGGCTCATTTTTGATTAGAATTGGAGTGATATATTGCCTGCAGTATGCTTTCGCAGCTATACTTGGCCCCATCGAGTCTCCAGTTTGTTGCCCTGACACAAGGTGAAATGAGCTGATGAACAAGGGCAGCCGGCCACTGTAGTATGATGTATACACAAATGTTGGGTTGTACATCATGGTGCTGTTGTGCTCCCTTCACAGGCGACGAAGGCGGACCAGTCCTGAGACGTGGCGAAAACGCATCTGAAGACGTGCAAGTTGGTGTGGTGACGACTCAGCTGATAAATGGGGTGGCCAGCTGTGGTCTATTTGGGAGGCCAGCAAAGTTCACAGGCCTATCACATCTAATTGAATGGATAGGTGAAACAGTGAACGGAACCACATGAAATGCTCAGTGCATCTTTGCCAGTGTGTTGGAAGGTTGGCTTGATGAGGTCCTAGACATAGATTGCCAAGTTCGCTTGCTGTCTGGGAGGCTGCAAAGCAGCTGTCCCGTTGCTGACAGATATTATTCCTGTAGAATTATCAGATTTCATTTCATTCTTAGAGCTGGCTACTTTCAAAGAAAGTTGCAGAAACAAGTTGCACTCCCCCAAGCAATGAAACGTGAGGACAGCGCCTCTGCTCAGGTACATAGCAGGTGACATGCCTCATAAAACATTAAATCCTTCAGTGTTGCATCTCCACTTGAATGCACATTTGCCACTCCTGTTGCCGAGGAAGGGTCTTTGCAGTGATGTTTGCGGGATGGGGCCTTGGTTGAGGCTGTGTGAATGCACACTGCTTGACGGGAACGCCTTCCTGCCTGGCTCACACACTGGGCAAGGTACTCACATCCTGTCCATGTTTGCTGTCCATGACCATCACCGTTGAAAGTGAACGCCTGTGACCATCAGTACAGTTTGACCAGTTCCAGTACCCAGTCCTGGGCCCGCCAGAAGAGTTTGGCTCGGCGACCGCGCGGATGGTCGCTGGTGCGGATCGTCACCAAGCGAAAGACGCGACATTCCGTCTTGGGGGCTGACAGTCCCCATCGATATATCCCCAGAAGGCGAAGCCGCCCTCATCGTTAACCCTGCTGTGGATCTACCATTGTTTAACGGAACCTGCAACAATCGTTTCATTCTTCCTTTGCGGAAAAGGGGGTCACCTTTTTTGAGTGATGGCATTTGCATTTCTCCTCCCGAGCTCGCGCGTGCAAAGTCACAGCCAGTCGCGCAACAACTGAGGCCCTGCACAAGACTGTTCCCCGCATCCTACCGCCTTCAGCGATGCAACTAACCACCGCGAAGGGAGGCCCGCCCTCCCCACCAAGGAATCCCCCGTCAATGGGGAGTCGCTGCTGCCTTCACGACATTCCCTCGTGCCCAACAATTGGAACACCCGCCCTGTTCCTGTGCCACCCTTGGGCCCATTCAAGGACCAATTTGGCCCTTGGCGGTTGGCCTTATGGTGCGGCAATGGCACATTCCGCGGAGCAATGGCCAAGCCGATGGCTATTGTTAAGCGCCATCGCGGACCTCTAGAGCTGCTGTGCGGCACAGCCACACGCGAAAGGCAATTCTGAGCGTTGATTCGCCGTTCCGGAGGGTTGGCACGTGCGCCAATGGCACGCTGCAGCGGGCGTGTCTGGGGGCACAGGATCAAACCAAAAATGCAGGCGACGAGCACGGGTGGGTGCTGGGGCCTGACGCGACGTCAGAAAGGCGTGCCTCTGCCCCTGTTGCGCCCCGCAGCCCACCGAGGGGGCCAGTTGCAGCCGAGGGAGTCACACTTGCACCATCGCCATCGCACCCTTGAGAGGGGAACGCGTCTCAACCCGGACGTTGGACTTGCACGCCATCGCCCCACCCGCACTGCCCTCAATCGACCCAGGAGCGCATTCGGAACTCGCGGCACGTGATTTCCCCACCCCGTGCTCGCGCTCAAGCACGCCCCCCGACCCGGGTGGGAGCCGCACCCCCCGCCCTCCCCGTTCCAAATCTTCACTCCTGGGCCCGGGGGCCCCGAACGCTTGCCCTTGAGGGGCGCGCTGATTGCATCCAGTGCCACGGTCGCCGTGCCAATGGTTGCCACAGCAGAGCGCTGTTTGGCTCTGGAATCGCTCCGTGGCCCGACTGAAGCCCTCGCGGGGACGGCATCGCCGAGCCGCGCGTTTGGGCGCGGGCCATTGTGTGACAACCGGCGCCGGCGATGGTCTCCATTGCCGCCGCGACGACGTGGGATCGCGCCGAAAACGCGCGCCTCGAACGCAAGCGGGCACGGCGCGCCGCTTCCGCGGCACCGATAGCCGCGCGCCTCCCGCTGGCCGCCCTCGAGCGCAGCCACTGCCCCACCCGGGGACGCATGCCCACAGCACCGGACTCGGAGAGCCCCGCCACCCACGCACCCCCCGTCGTAGGGGTCGATTCTTACACAAGAACGCTGATTCGTGCTCCACAAAATTCATTTCCGTGGCGCTCCAAGTCGCGTAGCCTGCTTATCACATAAGACCCGGGCTCTGGGGGCCACCATTAGTAGTGGACCCAACCTGCTTCTCTCTGAACGACATGATCTGGGAAGCCATGGTGGCGCCGAAGGACCAGGACCAAGTGCCGCATTCAAGGGCGTCCTTTCGACGTTTTTTGCCCGGCGTCGCAGCAGCGGAGGGAGCAAAGTCCCCGCGCTAGCCCTACTTCCGCGTGCCCTCGATCCGCGCTGCAGCCCGCAGACTCGCATCCCACCTCCACGAACGTCGACGCTGTGTGACGTCGCGGAACGCGGAGAGCGAGCTGAGCAGCGGGAATGAGAATGAAGGGAGCCGGCGCGTTTCTCCTCCTTGCCGGCTTGGCAGCGTTGCTGTTGCGCGGCCTCGCGGAGGACTGCGGAACAGGTGAGCTGCCTTTGCGCGCATGTGGCCCCATGTGACGTTTGCCGCTCGGTCTGGAGGGCGGTCGACCCCACCTTGGGCCCAGCCAGTCGTCAGGCCGCACGGCCGGCGACGAAACCCTCTGAAATTGGCTCTTGCGCGGTGTCGGCCTTCATCGTGATAGGCACAAGGGGGCTTTATTTGGGAAGTTGGCGTTTGTGTTTTGGAGTAACCGCGAACAACAGAACGGGGGAGGCGGGGGTGGGGCGGTGGGGAGCGGCCGGACGCTGTGTTTCCGCTGTTGACGAACGCAGACAGGGGAGCTACACACGGAAAGGCGGGAGCTTATGCCTAACGCCGTTTTGGCTCAGCAAGAATCTGGGGCTCGCTTCTGCACTGACGTTCCCGCAGCGGCGACGTCCGATTGGAGAGGAGGGACTCGGGCCCTGGCGTCGAAGCGTGGTCGCGAAGCGCATAATTGCTGTGCTTGCTTGGCATCCCTTGCTCGAGTTTTAGGCTGGGTATGTCAAAACGGCCCCGTGGAACTCTGCTGGCTTGACAAGTGCGCCTGTTGTTTTAGAAGAGGGGCACAATCTCTGCGAAAGAGAAAAAGCCACTGGGCTCTTCCAGGTACGTGGAATCCTTGAAACAACTGGTTGCAGTCCTTATGTGCTCTTGCTGTTTTAAGGAGGTTTGCCTTCCATCCGAGATGCTGTGCTGCATGCCCAGAAGCAGGACCCTGAAATGCACGTGTTCCCAAAAGCATGCGAATGGCCGTAATCGAGGCGAACCTAATCTGTATCCAACAGCAGCAGATCTTTGGCAACTGCTTCTGCCTGATATCGCTGGTGCGCTTGCAACACACTGTGTTGTGCATTGTCAGTGTCAGGTTGCTGTATCGAATTGTCCACTGCCACGTTCAAGCTTGACACAAAAGTATTATGTGCTCATTTAGTTTGGGCAGTTGATGGGCACAGTGAAGTGGAGCATATCCCCTTTCTTTGGGGGCCACTAGAGCACATTATTACAGGGTGGAGTAAAAATGCAATTAAATTTCCACATAGTCTCTCTTTCCAATGGTTGCCACTTGTGCCGCAGAATCCGGACGAAGATGCTAAACCTGATCGCTGGCCATGGATGGTCTCCATCAGGAGCGCGCAATTCAAAACGCATATGTGTGGTGGCACCCTAGTGGCGAAGGAATGGGTCCTCACAGCGGCCCACTGCATTATATCAGCATCTGCCGGGGGCAACGCAAAGGCATGGATCGATGGCTTGGACATTAATAACTCGTCTGACTTCAAGGAGGTAATTACCTGTCCTTGTCTGCGGTGGCATCGTCGAAATATGTTTTGGTCACAAGCGCCCCAACATGCCAAACCATGTCGTTCTGTCATCTGTGATGCAATGCCAGGTTTGCTGCAGTGGGAGCGGCGCACGTTCTGTTGAGCACCAATGCTTGTGCATGCCGTCAAAACCACACTTACTCTACACACTGTGTACAGGCACACTGCATAGGCACTTTGAAGTGTCAACATTGTGCGCAACCTGTGAGGCTGCCTATGATGCATTGCTCATGCAGACAACAGCAGTGGAACTTTTGCAGTTGTACATGCTGGCAGTATATTGAAGGCATCTTCTGCAGAGTCTGATCCTTGGGCTGCACATTTAGATCCCTGTCTTTTTGGTCCAGAAACTCACTGGGAAACTTCTTACCAGTGTAAAGCACCAGTATTGCGATGGCAACTGCGATGCGATTTGACACGAATTGATGCCGTCGCAGCTACTCTTATGCCGTCACAATCACTACGGTGGCGTCACTTTGTGTCAAGATGGCATCCCAGCTGGCATCACAAAACTGATGTTTCTGATAGTCCCTGTAAAGCCAAGCACACGTTCATTTTCTTCAGATTGCTTCCGCACCGTACGTGCCTGGAGGCTTTCACCTGATAGCTCTACCTGTGAGTCCAGCTGTTCCTCTTTGGCATGCTGAGCTCTTGATTGTAGTTGGCAAACAACAAATCGTTGACTTTGCACTTTGAGGTGATGGGGACCCGTAAGTTTCTTCGAAGACCGCAACTCACCATTTTTCTCCATCTGTCCAGTTCTTCGAAGTTAGCCACTTCATAGAGCATCCCCAATTCCAAGGCACGGACGAGGACATCGGCCTTGATCCTTTCAACGTGGCATTACTGAAGCTCAACGAGTCCTCAAATGTCGACCCAGTCAAGCTTGTGCCCAGTGACACACAACCAGTCGAGGACGACTGCCTGGCGTTTGTTGGCTGGGGCAGAAAGAGTCCCCGGGGTCCATTTAGTGTTTTGGTTGAAAGCAAGCTAAAGTTTATTGATCAAGAGATGTGCGACAGCATGACGCAGCCCTCTGTGGGCTTTGTTTGTGCTGCGCAAAATGGCACCGGTGTGTGCCCTGGCGATGGGGGGAATCCACTCATGAATGTGAAGTGTCCAGGAACGGACGAGCAGGTAAGATGTTTTAACAGAGTGCGGCTGGTGCATGAAATCCCCTTTGTCTCGATTCCTTTGTCGCCTCGATTTTTTAGCGAACATGACGGCCTTCGATGGTTTGGGTTGAGGATGGACATCTTGAACTGTAGGCACTGTACTATTGGACTTTCAGCGGGGCTGGGAACCGTAATGCCATCCCAGAGTTTGTTGCACACTGCCAGCAAGGTGTTTGGAGTTCACTGCAAGTTATGGCCATCAACAACCCAACTATGGTATCCCAATTTCAACCACAACAAAGCCAGCAACACCGTGGCATTTTATTGTTTGTGTTAGCCAAGGGGTTTGGTATCGGATTCAGACTTACGTTTCCAATTCACAGGTCCCGTGGTAACCTGCTTTTCTGGTTTTTGGGGCCCCGCACATTCGTACAAATAGCTGGGTTGTGAGACACATGCACGCACACCGACATCAGATGAAATGTCAAAATGGACACGATTATATAGGAAATTCTGCTGCGCAAATCCTCTGATTGAAATTATTGATATTTGCGCCAATAGGAATGTGTACCCAGGCGCCTGCAAGGCCACGAATGGCACTGTGTACATGTCAGAAGCGGTTTTAGCATATTTTCTGGTGTGTGCACACTGGGGCAAGATACCTTGAGAAAATTCACTCAGGGGGACGGTAAATCCTTGTTGTGTGTAGAGAAGTCCCCAAACCATTCCATATAGAAGGACTGCTGAAACGCATACCTTGCATCTTTGATTGTGACACTTCTGTAACCCCCCCCCAAAAAGCATGGTGAACAACTGCCACACATGGTCTCGCCGCCACAGCAGCACTTGAACTGTGTGATCGGTGTGGATTGGGCGTTTGACTACAGATGTTTCCCTGTTCTGCCCACGTCCAGGCTGGCATCGCCTCGAGAGTTCTCGGGGATTGTGGATTGATGCAAAACTTTGTGAGCCTGAGCAATCCAGCAGTGAGGGCCTTCATCGACGGTGTTCTGGAGGGAAGCAAATGATAGTGCCTGCGCAAGCAGAGGGCGCAGCACCAGGGGTTACGTACACTTCTGGAGGCTTCCGCCTCCAAAAAGAATCAAAAGAGAATCAGGAGAATCATTGATTCTTGACAAGTAGCTTCTTGACTCTTGCAGCAGGTGCAAGGAACGCTTGCTGCACTGCTGACGCCTCCAATCTGTTCTATGCTCCAGATGATTGGGAGAATTGATGCTGCGGTGGCGGTTGGGATTTTGGGCCCGCTGGATTGAGCGTATTTCCCATTTGAGCCGCCTGTTGGACTGCTGCAATTTTTCACATGGGACTGGGAAAACGCACAACTCAGTGCACTGAGTCTGGATTTGGGATTGGATAAGAGACTTGTTCTGGGGCGGGTGGATGTCATATGGTCATCAGCATAGGTGGACTGGATGGGCTGTTCAGCGCCTTGTGGATTTCGTTTGCTGCCATATTGGCAGCTTGTAGTCTCAGTATTAGCAAGACGGTTGAAATAACAGCACCAACATTCCAATTATTGAATTTTCTTGTAGATCGTCGCCATGTAGTCTGGTAGATCGAGGGAACTGTCTCATTTGGGTCGTTCAGGTAGGTCAATGACGATCAGAAATCGACACCCAAAGCCACTTCGCAGCCTGTCAACAAACTGACACCAGGAAGTTCACCATGAAAATTCCTGTCCACCGCCAACCATCAACCGCGATGGCTGTTCTTTAAGAGCCGCATCGACCCTAAGAAGTCCCTGCAGATGTTGAAGGGCAGAAGTCCTGCGAGTTGCTTGAACCCTCGCCCAACTACTTTTGCTTCTGCAGAAACGCTTTTGTGCACCGAACAATGGCGAGCATTTGTGCAGGTCGCTCGTGTATTCAGGGTAATAGACGTTTGCGTGACTAGTGCTGCACACCTCATTGTTTGGATGGCCAGAATACGCTACTTCTGGGAAAACTCCTGTTTGTGGACACATGTGAATCATGTTCTGCTTTCTTAATTTGAATCAATCCCGAAGACTGCACACTACAATGTAGTGACTACATGTTGCAACGATTGCACTAGGAGGAAAGCAAGCTGGAAAAGCGATACTAATATTGCAGAACAGTAATAGTCTGTTGGCTAAAAAGCAAATTGATGGAAAACCTACCAGAATCTGGGTAAACTTCGGCACTGCGGAATCGGCAGCTGTCTGGAAGTTGGGGATATTTAAGGTTGCAGGTGTAGCTGGAGATTGTCATGGGTGGATATTGGGAAGTACCAATGGTGTGGGACATAGGCGTCACAAGAGGAAAACAGCGCTGAGTCGCCGTGGCAACAGACCGAGCACTGCAACGAAACGGATGCCGCCCGATTGCCACTGCGGTCGGCTTAGCGGTGCCTCTTGGGCCCAAGGATGTGTGAGACGCGACGTGGCTCCCCTCCTGGGGATGGAACCAGGATGCTCACGGTTTCAGCCAGATTGGGGCTGTGCAAACTTGATGGCGGGCGCCCACACACCAAGAGGTTGGTGCTTGCCCAAATCATCCAATCACCAAAACATTGAAGCGAGGTTGAGCGTGGATTCCATGCCCAGTGTGGAAGTTTGGCAAAAAGGATCCATGACACAAGCTTGTCCCATGAGATCCGCAAGGAATCCATGCAGCCGGGGTGTTTGGCGGCGGAAGCGGAACATCAGGCTTCTGAACCCCCCATCTGGCAGGAAGACCGAAAAACTTCGCAAAGGTCAACTCTATGCGCACGGTGCTGCGGAGAGCCCACTGCGGCAGCCTCCACACGCCTCCAAGTGTACACTGGCATGCTCAAATCCATTTTACAGCCGCCTTCAACCACAGGTTGGTGGATATGAATGCACCGCTGGAAAGTTTGAGAGAAAAAACGTCGGGGTACACCTGCGCATGTGTCAAAAATTCGGCGCCCCATTTTCAAGCAGTTGAAAAGCAATTTCTTTGCGAGATGCAGGTTTTGTGGCCACCCCTAGGAAAAGTGGATGGGCATGGTGCCTCAAAGGGGCAGGTCGGGCACCTACCAACTACGTAATGGATTGGGAAACGAGAACATGTTTGGTTGGCATGCAGGGTGCCGATTGGCTGCGAGAGGCGCGGCCGTGGGGATGGATAACGGGACAATCCCCCGGAGACACATGTGACGGTCTCGTCAGGGTCACCCACATGGATCCAATCTATGCACTGCGAAGACGAAAAGACCAGCTGGGCGCGAATCGAAATGCGCATGTCGTCACCAATGATCCGGGTCCAAGCAAAGAGAGATGATGGGAGATATGTGGATATTGTCAGACTATCGGTGAGGGAATTAGACGGTGCTTTCATGCACGCGGCCCACATGGGGAGCCTGAAGTGCAAAGGAAGTTGCGTTGGCGGGAGGGAAGACGTGGTCGGCGCCGAGCGGGTGGGAAATCATCGGAGGTAGTCGTCAAACGGTAGTGATGGGTTATGGTAAATGACAAGAGAACATGGGACACTCACTGGTATTGACCGACATTGCCTGTTGGGGTATGTCGCGACTGGTTTGCAGGCAGGTTGTGCAATGCGCTTGTGATGTGCAGCATCGAGGACACTTGTAAGCCAAACCCACGTTTGCGTGACTAGCGATTGCCAATCACCAGTCACCGGTCACTGATTGATGAGTTGTGAGCGGAAAGTGAGCGATGAGCATGATGAGTGGTGAGCAGCGTGCTTGGTTAGCAATCGCCTAGTGATGCCGGGCCAGGTCTGTCAGCGTCGAAAAATAAATACTGGAGATTGTGTTGAGGGCACGCCGCGAGGAAGATAGGGACCATTCCGCACATTTCCCATCGCCACGCAATGCAGCAGTTGAGATGGGAACCGCTGAAATGCTCTTTACTTGTGATCGCTGCCTGAAACTGCTGGCAATTCTGTGCTAATTACGTCGTTGATCCAGTAGTCGAGGTCACGGAGTAGTAACTAACCGTAGAAACGAATCCATCCCATTGACGCACGCGACCATTCACCCATCATGGGATCGTTACATAGGAACCTTGACAGTGTGCTTCCCGTTGTCATAGGATTTCCAGCTATTAGGGAACGTCGCCCCGGCAAGTCAGAGAACGACGCCAACTGATTGCGCAAGTCACAGACTGGGCGAGTGTTATAGCTGACGCATCATCTGATGAGTGGTCTTATTTCCATCTGCGGATTCCAGCCGCCGGCTGAGCCTTCAAGTAGATTTTTCAAACAAGTCGGTGGCAGTTCGGCTATTCGATTGCCTGACGGCGATCTCTGTGCAGTTGTGCAAGTTTTATCGTCACCAGGAGGCCGCAGCGGGAGTTTTGTCATTCCCCACCCGGCAGAACATCCAGAGAGTCGCAGCGGAGCGAGGAACAGGATTCGTCCCCCTCGCAGCCAACCCCAGACAGCCAGCCCCACTATTTAGGCCAAATGCCCCACAAGCCAGCGGATTAGGTTGCGACTGTTGAAGCCCGCACCACTACTTGGAGGCCACGCCCAAGGGACGCGTCCAACACTGGCGAGCAGGGCGTGGCGCAGTGGCCTCGAGCCACCCATTCGCCCTCACCTCACGAGCGACGGTGGCCTCCGTGGCAGCAGAAAACCAACTTTGAGGCATCCGCCGAGCACGTCTGCCTCCTGTGAAGCCGCGGAGCCGCGGACCCGTGTGCTGCGCTGGGGCAAGTGGGTGCGTGGGGCAAGAGGGAGCGCGGCGAGTCCGTTCTGCCAGAGGCGATGGGAGCGCCGGTGACCTTGGTGGTGATCGTCGGCCTGGCGACGTGCCTTCATCTTGGGGTCGCCGAAGGTACTCCTGGCGGTGGTGGACTCCTGCGGCGTCATTCGTATGCCCTCCTGCGGGGGCAGCAATTTCGCAGGAGCGTCAGAGTCTTAATCCGAAGTTTCAGTGACTGAAACTATGTCACACAATGGGCAGCCTTCTTAGCAGCAGCTTTGTAGAGTATTGCGCGTGGTGTGGCGGATGGTGCGGAAGTCCTTCTGTGCACGGGAGTAGGACGCTGCACTGCGAGGGAGCTGCACCCTTCCATAAGCAAAACGAAGGAAAGGGACTCAGAGAGGGCAGCGAATGGGACAAGGTGGCTGCGCAGCCCTGGGGCGGTGCCATCTGTCGCCTTGATTGTCGATGGACGAGCGTGAAAGCAAGCACATCGACAACTGGCCGTTCTTGTGGCTGAGCAGTGGACTGGACACTTTTTGCGTCTGAACATTCGATGGTGGACCCTGGTGCACGGATGAGTATATGCACCTGACTTTAGAGTGGACTAGGCCACAGGAGGGAGGTGGCTTTGCAGGTTCCATGGTCAGGATTGGTGTGCGCAGATGTGTGTTGTGAAGCCCTTGTGCATTCCTGCAGTGCTGTACTGTATCCTGACATCTGTTGTGGTCTTGTTCCTTCCAGAGCCAGAGCAATGTGACACGAGCGGCATCTCTGCACGAATCGCTGTAAGTGGCCTGTATTCAAAGTGTGCATCATTGCCTTTTTCTTGTCCTTATTTGAAAATTGTGACCACAGGAAGGTGTCCTTGCTGAAAGATGAAAAAGGAAATATGTTATACAATGGCGAGGCTCCTTATGAGCGACATATTCTTTTAGAATGTTGGTTGCACTATGGATTGAATGATTCTTTTAGACTAATAGGTGCAGAACACTCAGTCATGCATCTCTGAATCATGATCTTGACATGTTAGTCCCAAATTGATTATTATTTGATAAATGTTCATGCCAACCCCCTCATCAACACAGATCCAGTGGCTATCTAGTGGCTAACTTGGTGCCACACTGTTGAGGGTTAGTACTTTGCCATGTTTGCTGAGCCCTGTTTGCCACTGTGATGTGTCCTACGCCGCGCGTTGCTTTGGCTTGATATATTGCCCACCTTTTATTCGCTTTTAAAGAATTGATTTTCGCAGATGAGGATCAGTGATTTGATCAGTCTGTGGCTGTTTAAACCTTAGCCTTGGCAAGCTAGGTTTGATTGGTAATCTTGGAGTTGACATATGAATTCCTGACTTGCTTGCCCATTTGCATCTTGTTGTTATTGCAGGCTGGAGATCCAGCTGAACGTGGTCGCTGGCCGTGGATGGTCTCCCTCAGGCACCCTCTGTTTACACAACACATTTGTGGCGGAACGCTAGTGGCTGCAGATTGGGTCTTGACTGCAGCTCACTGCGTTGACCCTGTTCGTGGCGGGACGACGGCAGTGACAAATCCAAAGGCATGGATTAATGGACTGGTGCTTAAAGAGGTCACAGACTTTGAGGAGGTGAGCTGTTGCCAACCTATCTGAGGCTGTGCATGCTAAATAGTGTGTTCTGAAGGAAGCAAGTTGTTTATTTGAGTCAGCTTCATGGTGTTGACATATCCTACCCAGCTACCTACAATTCGACCCAGGTGTCCACCAGTAAGTGCAAAACCCCCTGCGCATGTTCTCCAGTTCTTCACACAAACAGAAGTGTGTAATGCAGTGGCTTCCCCTTACAAGAAAACATTTGCAGCTCGTTGCTGTCCACTGGCAGATGATGTGCAAGCTGCCAGCAAAGAGTGTGTTTTTCATTACCAGCAGGTCATGTAACCGTTTGCGTGTCATTAGCATGGATACATTGGTGCAGGCGTTGCCAGCAGTTGTAAACTTTCTGTTGCAACTGGCAAAAAAGCAATGCTGTGCATGTGTCAAGTGTTGGCCAGCTTTCTGATGGTAATGTGACAAGCAGCTCTGTTTTATCTGGACAATGGCAACATTGAATCAAACAGATGGGGCCCAGTTAGCTGCATTCTATGCAACTGCTATTTCTGTCGGTGCCCAAACTACCTGCTCTGTCAGTCCGCTGCCCATGACAGAAGATTAGATATGAAGCACTCCATTCCCGTGCGTCACCCCTATTGCCTGCCATGTCTTGCAAAGGCCCCAGGCCCTTAAGAACCCACAGAGTTGATGCAAATCTCTGCACACATATTGTTGCACTGTAGGGAATAGGTGCTGTTGCTGACACAAGGGTCGCACAGTGCCATGCACTGTGTGGATAATCCACATTGATTTGCTGCTGTTGACAATCAATCAAATAACCACCCATGTGTTATGAGGCGATGCCTACTGCTGTTCTGTCTGTACGAATGTGTGTTCCATTGGCTCTGTTCCTGTCCCTCACTGGACAGGACTGCTGCACTGGGTCGACAATCACTTTGTTGTGCAGTGTAATGGTTTAGAACTGCAGCTGTGACTCAGATGTCCGTATTTTAACTGTACAACAAAGTGGAATATGGACGACCAACATTTCTGCAGGACACCGTTGCTCATGGAATCAAGAGCTGAATGTGTGTGTCTTGGTAGTGTCCACCATAGATCCGTCGTTTTATGATGCCATGAGCAGGAGAGCGGGCCTCCAGGCCCATATCCTATTCACAGATCTTTGAATTTCCTCACAACTGGGATTTCTCATCAACAGCTCTGTCTTTGCAGGAGATCGAGGTCGTTGAGACCATCCCACACCCCATGTTCCAAAATTTGGACCATGACCCATTCGATGTTGCACTGCTGAGGCTCAAGACGCCCTCAAAGGTCTCCCCCATCGTGCTTGCTCCTGGGGACTCGCCGATTGTGGAGGGCGACTGCCTGGCGGTCATGGGCTGGGGCAGGGTCTCGCCTCGGGGCCCTTTCGCCAGCCAGCTTCAGGAAGCCCTCTTGGACTATGTCGATCAGGAGGTGTGCGACGTGGAAACCGATCCATCCACGGGCATGGATTGTGCGGGAAGGGGTATCTCCGCAACGTGCTCTGGCGATGGTGGGGACCCACTTGTGAGAGTGCTCGGCCCGGGAAGAGACCACCAGGTGGGGCTGGATGAAACACCTGGGACATAGCGTTGCTTTCTGACTTGACCTATTTCATTGTGACGCCTGGATCATACCTGGTCAGGAATCGGATGATGCCAATCGGACACCTGGGGCGATGCCAGATCCGTGGCGCAAATTCCCGATACCCTTCATTTCGGGACATGAAAGTCATGAAGGCCATGTTTGGGTTTATGATTTGTGGGTTTAAGGAACTTAAGGTCAGGTTGCAGGTTTTCAGGGGCCTCGTACAATTTGTGGCCCTCATGATCTTCGCATCCGGACTGGTTGGTATCAGACAAACCTCATCGATTGTCGTGAATCGGCTCTTGCCATGAACGGATGCTGCCTGGTCATGCGCTGTACAGCATCTTGCAGAGATAAAAAGCCGGTTAGGTGGGAGCCAACCATGAATTCAATTCACCAGGGTGCTGTCTGTTTTGTTTCAAGCCATCAGACAGTTTGGTTCTAGTCATCCAGAGTGCTAAGCGCTTGCTAAATGGCCTTGCTTGGCCACTTTGCACATCATTTTGCGTGTGTTGGCCACTGCCTCAGTGCCCGCTGACTAGCTGGTAGTTTGCAGCATACAATTTGCCAGCATTCTTGATCTGTCAATGTGGAAGGCAAGGGCCTGAAAGTGAAGTGGGAGGCGTCTTGGTTTTCAACATGTCTTTTGCATCCACAGCAGGCCTTCAGAATCATATGGTCAGGATTTTGTTTCCCATTCCCTGAATGCAGCAACAACAACGTCCAAGACAGTAACCTGTGGTTTCTCAAGTAGAGAACCTGGAGAAGCAGGCCAGGTGCAGCTTGCAGATCTCCAAGCAGAAAACTTGGCAGCTTGAGGCTGGGAAAAAACAGTGGCAGCAACCACCAGTTGTGGACACAGTGGACAATGTCTTAATGCAAGGAACCTGTGAACCGTGCAAAGAACTGCCAGGGGTTTGGGGTGCGGGGTGGGTGTGGAGTCATGATGCACGAGGAATGGATGCAGCGGAAAGAACGCCATCTCGATTGCTGTGTGAGTTCATGAGCTCTCTGCAAGAACTTGATGCACATCAACAGACATGTCAACAGAACGTGTGCACCACACTGATACTGCCCCTAGCCATGGACCATGGCTTATGCACACTTGGGTTTGCAGTCCTGGGCTGAATTGGTAGTGTGCAGACTTTGGACATTTTGTATGGGTGTGACATGCCTGCTGATGCTGTTGTGTGCCCATGATCAGCTTGGTGTCTCCCAGAAGGTCAATGGGGATTGTGGTGGGCTTGACAAGCCCAGCTTTTTCGCAAGCCTGCACAACCCAGAAGTCAGAAATTTCATCTTTGAGACTATGGAAAATTCGTGAAATGATTCTGGCCGCAAGGGCAGGGGATCCCGCAGGAGGCCTCACAGACTGGCAAGAGGTGGCACGACAGTTGGAGGGCTTCGTGCAGCAAGTGCTGGACCGTTGCATCCAGCATAGAAGGTGTGGAAGCGACATTCGCTGCCAAGGGGCCAAGTCGCTGAGTCTACCTGGGTGCAAGTCCTATTGTGGTTAGTTGTGCTTGGTTCCCTCTTGTGTTCACCCAATGGCAGGTCCCTCTTTTTCTTGCATGTATTCGAGATCAAGGGTTTGTTCTAGTTAGCTGCAATGTAATAGATTTTGGCTCCGCTCTATAGAGACAGGGAAATGATTCTGGTGCCTGTGGATTGGGGAATGGATGGCTTTGAAGGCTGCATCGAAGTGGGCAGCAGGTGCTCTGGGACACTTCTTGTCGACCATTGCCATCATGTCGCAATGACAGGATCAATACTACCTTGTGGGGTAGGACAACAGCCTTCCTGGGAAATTCTTTCGTGTAACATGATAAAGCTGATGTGATCATGTTGAGCAGTGGGTGCTTCCATTGTGTGTGCCCTTGCACCATGAAAGGAGCCTGGCGGCCAAAGGTGCACAGTGTTCCAAATTTTGCGCTCGAACGCGGGGCCGCACATGTCCGTGCTTAGTCGGCCGCTTCTGCCCATGTGAATGGCAATGAGGTTCCATTCCATTCCAAGCGAAGCCAACGCCTCACCTGATAGTTAGTTATCGATGGACAGAAAAACAAGTTCTTGTCCAAGCCGACCCCCTCCCTAGGCGTTTTGTTCTGGGCCACTAAACCAACTACCCGCTCAAGCCCAACGTCATGCGTACATCCAGTCTAGGTCCGTCATACAAAATGGTTGGATTGGGCATTTACGCCCCAAATTTTATACTGTCGTGTGCCCCAAAGCACAAAAACAGAAGTACGAGAAGACTGGGATTAAAAAGAAGCGATCGGGCAACTAAGCATTTCTCAAAAAAGCAAGAATCGCTGGATCCACATGCAGCCCGCGAAGGGTGGTGACTGCTCGTATTCTCAATGCACCGTTTGGAAATTGTGGATGGCCTCACAAGCAACCAGCGTAACCACAGCGCGTCACGCCACTTGGGCAAGCATCCAAAAAAAAAGCCCATCCTGCCGGTCCCATCCGGCGTCAGCCTGGGTCAAGGTTCCCCGCCCTCCCCCCCCCGTCGACCCGCAAAAGCTCTTGCGCGCGCAGCTAGGGCGCCGGCGCCCCTTTCCATGATCTGTCCACGGCGGCAGCCTGCACCCTAGCGGCAACAGAACGCCGCGCCCGGCGCCGCCGTCCCGGCCGTCCAACAATCAACGAAGACCCCCGCGGCAGGCAGGGAAATGAATGAAAACGGGATTGCCTTGGCCAACGGCGCCCTCGAGGTACGGCTGCATCAAAGGCGGGGAGCATGGTCGGAAGACGCAACTGGGGCTTAGGCGAGCCCTTGGGTGCGCCTTGGCGCGAGGAGAGGACGGCATCGCCTTGTCTGAGCGTTCGTCTTGATTGCCGCGATGTGCCTGGGCGGGGCCTGAGTTTTGCTGTGTCTGTGCCTCGCGATGGCGAAGGAGCAGGACTACGACAGCCCCAAGGCGCACCGCCTGCCGGCCCTCGGTCTCGAGAGCCACCATGGCTCGTTCCAGGTGGGGAAAAACTCAGGGGCGTTCGGCGGGCAGTGATTCGGGCGCCCGAGCGCGGCTGCCGCCGGGAGCCGTGCACGGACCCGGCTGCACCCGCGCCTCTTGCGCCACGCCCGCGCCCTGGCGCATCGCTTTTGTCGTCAAGCCGTTGCGCGGATCCCCGTGGAGTCCGCGCAAGTCGACGGGGAGAATCAAAGTCGCACGGGGACGCGGCGAGGAATAAGGCCCGAGAATGGGCGGCTCTCTTTCAGCGCCGCCGTCACGCACGGGCGGCCCGAACTTGGGCTTGGAGGTCGAGCGGGAGATTCTTGCGGCACTTGCCTCCATCAGGTGCCCGACCCAGCGGGGGGACTGCGGGGTGGGTGGGTGGAGTCACTGGGGCAAGGGTGCGGGGCCCCAGGTTGCAGGCCTCGCGGCAAAGGTGCGGGGCAGCGCCCTGCATCGGGGCATCCGTTCTCTGCGGAGGGCAGACGCGAATAGGGCACTTCTCGCTCCCTCCTTGCTCCACTGCCAAATTTGGCTAACATGGGGCGGCCCTGCTTCACGCGGGCGCCAGCGTCGAGCCCCGCGGTGCTTTGGCCCGATGGACGCCTTGGAACGGGGCCGCTGGCCGCGGCGGCCGAGCGTGGGTGAGCGCTGATCGAGCTCGAGCCAGTTTCAAAGTGTTCTGGACGGACGTCACTCCAAGTGGACTCCTGTGGCGACGCGAGAGTGGAAGGAATTTGGTTTTTCCGTCGGTGTTTGGATCTCTGGCTTGGCAGCCCCTCGGTGGAAAGTGGCGAGGCATCTGGTGGCAAGGATATTGTCTGGACGCTCATGTTTCAGCAGTGTTACATCATCAGATACAGTTACTGGCGACTGCCGATGGTTGGATACGAGTGCCTGTGCTTGAAGGCCAAGTGCATGTGAAGGGCTGCCATGTGGGCAGCCTTTGATGTTCCCGAGCTTGCTGTGGTGGTGGCCAAAGAGAGGAGGCTGGAGACAACTTTGATTTTGATCAATGCCAGTTCATGATGTCGCCCTCACAGTGGAGGTTGATAGAGATGTGTCTATAACCCAGGAATGGAAGCACAAAATGGCACAGTCAGGTTGTGCAATGGGCAGGGTCACATGGATTTCATGTCTCCGATGAGGAAGCTGGTATTCTTGCTCAACTTGAAAGGAGCAAAGGCAGTGCTTTGAATACTCCATGGGTCATACTGAATCAGGATTGATAATTAAACAGGTCTTGTGAGACACTCTGTGTTGCAGCAAAAGGTCTGGGCAGTTGTGACATGGGTTCGACTGTCATAAGAACTTTGGTGCAGCATGTGCTGCTTCTAATAGCGCATGATGTGTGTGCGTGGTCAGTTCCTTGTGATTTTTTGGACACACGCAACAATGATGATTCCCATGAATGTAGGCTGCAATTGCAATACAGGTGGATGGCTTCAACCGTGCGCTTCAGCGCAACAGCACTAGCAGTGGGAAGTTGGCACGTTTTCTGTCACTAGGAAAGACAAGCCCAGAACATCGGAAGAATGCCACGGGTGGTTGGGACAGCAGCATATCTCTTGATGATATGTTGCTCCATTCGGTGGTGAGTATGCGATCTGTGTTACGACAGGGTGATCGGCGAATGTCCAGGAGTGAACAGCAATTTTCGGTCTCAATCGCTGCAGAAATCCTCATCATCTTGCTATCATGACTTTCAGTGCCCTGTGGTGATCCAATGACAAATCTGTTTTAGCCTCTTAGTCTGCAAATCCTTTGGTTTGTTTTCCATGAGTGATAATTGAGTTTGTTTAATACTAGCAGTACATGGTGCTTCGACCTTGCTGGTGAGATTGGGCATAAGTTATGTGTGCAACACATGATATCAGCCTTCTGTACCAGATCATTCAATCTGTTGAAAGTGAGGCTGATTGAATTCAGCGCATGCAGTCCCAGAATACGCAGCCTTCCCCAGGAAAGTTACAGCCCATGGATGGGATGTTTCCATTTTCCAGACGAGTGCCTGCAGGTCACATTCCTTGCATGAGTGGTGCTGCGAATAATGTCACCAACTGTCTGCAAGCAGCCCAGACATGGGGTGTTTTGCAGCACTGCACACTCCTTTGAACCTTGGTGTTCTTGACAATAACCTTATGAACAAACTGCACGTGAACTTGCACCCAACATGGTCTCATAGGTGCAGGAGTTTCATTTTGCCACTCTTAGCCAAAGTCAAACATGGCAATGCATGCGCTGATTGTTGAGTCCACACACCTGACTGCAGGATCCCATTCCCACTTCACTGCTGAAGATGCCAAACGACCAGGCAACCAAAGCTGTGAAGATGTTCAACAGCCTGTTGAAGTTCACAGGAGATGCCTCTTTCGATGTGTCTGACGTGCAGCAGATGGAGATTGCCCAAAAGCTCCTTCACAATGGCCTCAAGCGTGCAGAGATGAAAGACGAGCTGTACATGCAACTCCTGAAACAGACTCGGGGCAATCCAAACTTTGAATCTAAGCTGAGGGCCTGGCAGCTATTCCATCTTGTGGCATCGACAATGCCACCATCCAAGGTGCTGTGGCTCATGGATCGGAAAAGTTCGATCAATCTGCCTGCCCATAGCTACCCACCTTGCAAATCATTTCTTGGTGCATTAACACAGATTGGATATTGCTGTGCCTGCCATCGCTTGCGTGGCATTATTCATCGTTTCCGTTGTTGACAACTGTTACCCGTAGAATATCTTCCACCCTTTGCACATGCTGTGGCTGAGTACCATGTAATCATAGCATTCATGTTTGCTCTTTGGAAATCCCTTTCATCGCAATGAGAACTGATTCTGTAACAGAATTTCTGTTCCATTTTTTTGGTCAGCAATCCAGCTATCACAGCGGGCCTGGAAATGTGCTTGATGCACCCATGATCGTAAGGTTGCACAAGTGCTGCTTCTCAAATTCAGCAGTTGGCTAGGATGTGAGTGCCCCCAGCTTGTTGCCTGTGTGGTTAAGTGCAATGTTTGTAGAATGCCGGCTCAGTCACAGTCTATTCTTGCTCGTGAAATTGGTGGAGTCTGATGGTTCTTGTGGAAGGGCAGTTTATGTTAAGTGCAAAACAGCAGGTCTGATTGCAGACACAGCTGCAGTGAGTAAACCTCCAGTGATATGTATGACCAGTAGATATGGTGCTACATCCAATGCACTTCCCTGCATTGTCCATCCATAAATGGGCCTCCTAGATGCACAGATTTGTGTGACAGATGCACAGAAGCAGAATGCATGGCAATAAATCCTAGAAGCTCTTGTTCAAGCAAGTGCCATTTGTCCTTTCCAAGAGCTACAAAGCACCATAAGGGTCTGAACTTACAGCTCTGCATGGTTTTGGCAACTCAGCATGGTTGTTAGAACTCATGTCTTCTCAACGTTTACCAGTGCCACTTGTCATGACTGATGTTAACATGCAAGAGCAGGCAGGGAATGGCAGCCAGATCACGCACATGTGTCACTTTTTACCACTTTTGACATGTTTTGACGTGCCTGAACAGGACTATGTAGGTTTGGTGTCCCAATACATCCATAGTGTCTGCCATGAGGACTCAGAGCCTGAGGAGACGCGGCAGATAGCCACGCATACATGGAATGCGCTGAAGCGCTCAGCAAAGGCAGGAGCAAGGCGGTCGGTGAGTGACTGTGAAACCGCCAATCTGCTTTAGGGAGAATGTTACCAGGCTATGCATGATTCAGAACATGTTCAACATTCCTGGAGGCCAGCATCCAAAGCAGGCACCCAAGTTCGTCTTCATTGACAAATGGAGCTTGGAGATGACAAGCAGAAAGGGCTGCAAAACGATCCGTGTTTGGCACTGGGTACAAGATGCGCTAGCATCCCCAACCTTGTTGCCTCTTACCTCCAATGGAGCTGCTGGAGCCCTTGGCACACTCTTGTCACTGCAGAGTGTGTAAGGTTCGGCTGCCGATCTCCTTGACTATCCTGTAGACTGCAATTCCCTGCCTCTTGCTGGGTTGCCTGCCCTGCAAGGGCTGCCTATGGAAATCGGGTTGTGCATCTCCCCATTCCCCCCGTCCTTGCTTGGCACCCTTTATGGTAACATGATAGCACTATTAGCAGTCCCTCTATTTATTTGGTTTTTGGGTTTGGGGTTACTAACTGCCAAAGAGACTATGGTTTCAGCCAAAGGGCTGCAGCTCTAACTGCATTGCGCAATGAGCCTCCCTTTGCGCCATGCACTTGACTCTCAGGCCCATGCCCCATTTGTCCTCGTTAAACTGACTTCACATCAATGCTGCTTTCTGTTGCAGCTTCCTACTGTGGAGGAGATCGAGGCGCTCCTGTCAAGGCGCAAGCTGAAGACCATCATCTTCTTCCTGGACGAGACTTTTGAGGAGCTAGAGTACGATGTTACCACAACAGTGCTTGAATCCGTGGAGCAGATCGCCGGCCTGATCGGCCTGCAGAATCACACCACCTTCACACTGTTCGAGTGTCGCCGCTCGCAGCAGAAGGCGATGGACACTGCCATGGATGAGCACACCCTGCTGGATGACCACAAGTACATCGCAGATGTGCTGGCCGACTTTCAGAATCGCAAGGCAGAGAAGGACACCACGCAGAGCCGGCTGCTCTTCAAGAAGCGGATGTTCAGGGAGACGGATGAGGCAATCCAGGAACCCCAATTTTTGAATCTTTCATACGTGCAGGCACAGCACGATTTTCTTCTTGGGAATTACCCCGTCGTTAGGGAAGACGCTGCCCAGATGTGTGCCCTTCAGATTTTGGCGGAGTATGGACCGAAACTGAAGCCTGAGGACCGGGCCATCCCAAGGGCGATCGAAAAGTACATGAGCCGGCAGTTTTTGATGACGCGGCCAAGGGAGGACTGGAAGTTAGATGTCATGTCCAGGTACAATGCCCTGAGCCAGTACACCAAGGAGGATGCTAGGATGCAGTTCCTCAGGGTGCTGAGGAGCTTGCCATATGGTAAGTTGTGGCAAGTGTGCTGCAACTGTGGAACTGTTCTTTGATTGCTGTTGATGAGAAGTGGCAATGTACGCTGTAGGTGACTATGGGTATAGTGCCATCTGCAGCATTCACAACAGAATGACTGCGAATCTCTGCTCTGTCGTAGAATACGTGGCAAATCTGATGTTTCTTGTACCAGACATGTGCTTTGTCTCAGATGGTTGCCCAAACGGGGGTGGGTGCACCTTTTGGAAGACTGTGGAAGAATGTATGTTTTGGTCAGTAGAAGTGAAACTTGGCACACAATGGGCACTTCCCTGTTGGGTGAGATTGGGAACGGGATTTCTGGTACATGCAGACGCCTCATGCACAGTAGCAGAAGCACAGGGAAGAGAGCAGCACATATTGCAGTGATTGAGTGCCACACAGTAAACCATCTATGTTGCATGAGCAGAATATTGCCTGTCCTGGGTTGTGAAGCACATTCCGAAGGAGGCCAGCAGGCCTAACCATGTGCGGGGCAGAGAATTGGACACGAGAAACAGCTGGTCATGGTTGCAACACAGCAATGTATGTGCAGCGTGTAATAATTAAATCCAGGTATTTCCATCTAGATGTAAGGCGCTCTCAAGATACTGAAGTTGAATTTACTGTCAGTAGTCTCACAGCCAGTGGTGTTGTGTACCAGGAAACTCTGTGTTCTTCCATGTGAAGAGAATAGAAGATCCGATTGGATTGTTGCCAGCCAAGCTCATACTTGGCATAAATAAGCGCGGCGTCCATTTTTTCCGACCTGTCCCAAAGGAGTACCTACATTCTGCAGAGCTCAGGGACATCATGCAGTTTGGCAGCAGCAGCCAGGCAGTGTTTTTTAAGATGCGTGTTGCGGGCGTTCTGCATATATTCCAGTTCGAGACGAAGCAGGGAGAGGACATATGCATGGCCCTGCAGACACACATCAATGACATTATGATGAAGCGATATGCAAAGGTACATGGGGATAAAGTCCCTTCAAGCTATGTGTCAGTCGTCCCATCCCCAGGCTGCTCATTTGAAGTGGTCATATCTGCCAAGACAACTTTGCGCTGACACACTGAAGGTGTTTCCACGTCTGGTTCTTTGTTGTGCAGATGTGGGCCTTGTGCACTTGTACGCATTTTGCTTGTGATAATGCTTTGCAAATTGTTGTCGAATGCGGTTTTTAACGATGTAATTGGCAGTACATCTTGTGATTTGGACGCAGGCAAAGGCGATGGCAGTGGCAGAGGCCAGGAGCTCCACAGTTCTTCCCACTGCAAATTTCGGTGCAAAGTATGAGCAGCACATCAGCCAGATGCAGAAGATGCTGAACGACTCACAGGCAAAGGTGGAAGAGCTCACCCAACGGGAAGAGGAGCTGAGATATGAGCAAGACAGGCTGAACGACCGTCTGGAGGAGACTGTGGAAAAGACCATGGATGTGGAAGAGTCCAAGAATGAGCAGCAGGAGAATGCCTTCAGGCTGCAAAGACAGATCGACAAGATGAGGGCAGAGTATGATGAGATTTCAGCGGTGGGGCCCCAATGACCTGTGTTCTGGAGGAAGCTGGGTGCGGAGCGGCAGGGTGCACAGTGCTTCCCTGTTGTGTTGCTGCCAAGATGTTTGCTGCTTGGATGGTTTATTCTGATCCCTGTGCTTTTAGTTTTCGTTGCCAGCTGGACGAACCTGGCATTGCTTGTGTACACCATTCTTGGCGCTCTCAAGAGACATCCTTCGTTGCTTGTGTCCGTGCAATATATTGTTGGAGTGCTTTTACTGGTATGTGTCAGTTGTGTCATGTGTTGTATCAAAAGTGTATGGTCGTCTTGGTGGCGAGCGTTGGTCTGGAATCGTCTGCCCGTGCTGTGTGGTGAATGTCAATGGCTTGTGCTCTGGTCCAACCTGGTACATATCAGAAGGCTTGTGGAAGTGCAATGTCCATTGTTGCCTCTGCTGCAGGCAGTCGCAGCTGCAGAGCACGTGAGGGCAGGCCTTGTGTCAAAACAGTCCGTCGATTCACTGAAGGTGAAGGAGCTGAAGATCATCCTGGAGCAAAAAACCAATGAAGTGGAGGAAGCGAGTACCAGGTGTGTGGCATGCCTGCGTTGTGGGCCATTGTGGCGTTGTGGTCTTGTGTCTGTGTGCCACCATCATCAACTTGGATGATACAGAGAGATGTTGGCACTGCGAGCTATGACGGAACCAATTCTCCCCACATTGCCTCAGCAACTGGGCAACAGTCTGTCTAATTGAGGCGAATGCCATGAAAGGGAAAGTGCACACACAGCCATTGTTGTTGAAGGGCGATTGCCACTTTCCCAACACTCAAGAATGCAAGGCGATGTGCTGCCCCACAGCAATTTGGTTGTGATCATCTTCAATATTTTGGTGCCTGGTTGAAACATGATAATTTGGTCTGCTTCTGTCCCATGCTTAGCATGTTTATGCACTGTGGGCACTTTTGGATTGTGCCACTACAACCATGCTGTTGGACCAGGTAGATTGCAGAAAATGACAATCATGCCTTGGCAGTTGGATAATTGATGGATTAAAAAGTGTCTCGTTAACGGAAGTGGACATGTTGCCTGCAAGCCTACACCAATCTGGAAAGAACTGTGTGGTTTGAGACACTTTTCCATAATGTGGAAGATGATGGCCACACATGTTGTGCAGCAAATGCAGCGTACTGGACAGAGAGCGGCACCAAAAGCACTACATAGTGCACTGTGCTGTTGCCCTTTGTAAATGCAGGCATCACGTTTGAGATGAGCACAAGTTTGGTGTTCTTGTTAAGCAAGGTGTACGCTGCTTACAGGGCTGTATCACTGGAGAAGGAGTGTCAAAAGATGCAAAAGGGCAAAGAGCTCACAGAGAAGAAGATGAACCGAATCGACAAGACCAAGGAGAGTGAGACCCGGGCCCTCAAGGAGCAGGTTGAGAGCGCCACTGGGCAGCTGAGGGACCAGCTGCACTCAAAAGACATGAAGATAAACGACTACATGGAGCAGCTCGCCAATGTGACAGCCATGTTCAATGAGAACAAGTCAGAGCTGGAACAAATACAGACAGACAAGGAGGAGCTGGCGGAGCTGCTGGCGATGAAGGTAGAGATCGAGAGCAAAGACCGTGCAAATGCTCACACCATCGAGGCACAAGCGCGGAAATTGGACAGGGTAGAGAAGGTGTACAAGGAAGAGCAGCTGCTGAGAAAAAGGTAGGGGAGGGGTCTCCTTGGTAAGGACCTTCAGAAGAATGCATTGCATGTTTGTACAGCTGAAACATAGCCAGTGCAATGGCTTGGCATGCTGTTGATGTATGTGCTTCGTACTTTGAGTTATTTGTCTCGTTAACTTCTGGTTTTGGCAGTGTATTCGCTGGGCAGCACAAGAGCTCCGTTCTGCCAAGTGCAAGGCTTTGTACTTACCAACCTTTACAAGCATGTGTTGCGCCATTCTGTGTTTTGCCATGATGGCAACTGACATTATAGGAATCGCAGAGAGTTTGACTGCCATGCTTTTTGCCATAGGATCTTCAACCACATGGAAGACATGAAGGGCAAGATTCGGGTGTATGCCCGTGTTCGTCCAATGCTTGGCCTGGAATATGAGAAGGGCCAGTGTGTTGCGCTTGCCATTCCAGATGAGCTCACTGTGTCGCATTACTGGAGGAACGAGGCCAAGCCAAGGGAGTACTCATTTGACAGTGTCTTCGATCCAGATGCCACCCAAGAAGACGTGAGCATGGCTCTGTTGTGTTCATCATGTCAATATCATGTTTGTTGCTTTGTCGACGAATGTTGTCACAGGAATGAGATGGGGATCACCTTTGCTTTGACCTTGTCGACTGTAATTGCCTTGCCATGCTAAGTGACTGTTGTTATCTTCTGTATATGTACCATTGCCTCTGGTCATTTCTTTGTTTCCGTTTGTCGGCAAGGTGGCAATGCAATTTTCCTTGAAATAGCAGGGCGAATGTGTGTGTACCACCTGGCCCATCCTTCCAGAATGTTTCTTCCTCTCCACTCACTTAGAAGCAAAAGAACAACCCAGAAAAGAAGGGAATGCTTACTTCCACCCGGGCTGGCTTGGGTTGCCTTGCTGCTGTTGCCTAACAGAATGGTGTTTCAGACCTTGATATGGTGCACAGCTCGATGCTTCATATGTCAAATGGTTGCGAATTTGTGCAAGTGGTATAGCAATAAGAAACCAAATGATGCTTCCCAAGGATTATTCCTGCATGTTGATACTGAACTCATTTCTTTGGGCAACAGCAAACAGATGGGGCTGCATGTGCCATTGTGAGTGCGATTGTTGCTCTTGTGAAGATTGCAAATGAGCAATCTTCTGAACATACCTTGCTGCAGCAATGCCAAAGATATTTGCAGAAGGGCTGCAAGAATGCATCAAAGGATGCTGCTTGCTTCCAAGTCGTGGCAATCAGGGTATTAGCAACAGAAAGGAAGGATGCAGCGCTGTGCAATTGGTGCATTAGTGCTCAGCACTGGTGTCCAATTGGAGTCCTTGTGTGCTCTGCAGGTGTTTGAGGACACCAAGCACCTAATCCAGTCAGCTGTCGATGGTTACAACGTGTGCATCTTTGCATATGGCCAGACTGGGTCAGGGAAAACTTACACGATATATGGCAACGAGCACAGCCCAGGCCTGACGCCGCGAGGCATTTATGAGCTCTTCAGCATTTTCGACAGGGACTCTGGAAAGTACAGCTTTGACGTCAGCTGCTACATGCTCGAGCTGTACCAGGACACTCTCATGGACCTCCTGTCCACAGCGAAATCCAGCAAGTTTGGACCAGCAGGATCGGTGGGCGGCCCCTTCTGCGTGTTCAGTTTTCGCAGTTTCTCTTTCAGGCAGTTTCATTTGTTTCTTTTTGTGTGCTGTTGCTAGGTGGCTGGCATGGTGCACATTGGGGGCACAATTAACTCAAAATGGTATTGGGGCCCCTGAGTGCATGTTCAGTGCTGAGAATCGCTCCATGCTTCGAAGAGCCTAGCAGTGGTTCAGGCTTCGGGTTGCCATGCATCAAATTTTGGATTGTGGACATAGTCTTGCATGTTTCTAAGTTAGCAGGTAATGCCATTGTGATCTACCCTAACACTGTGGGAGCCATTGACACTGGAGGCAGCTGTGGCTAAACAAAGTACCTCTTCGTGTACAATGAAGTGCTGTACGACACCAAGCTGGCACAGTTGCCTTTGGGACGTGACTGTGTTAGGCCAAAACAGCAGGCAAGCTGTGTATTTTCTGCACGGCACAGCAGTTCTTGTGGCGAAGTCGCACCTGCTTGTCTCCTGTATCACTGACTGTGCATTATTTGCAGTACAGTATGCCAGTCTCAGCCATCAGTGGCGATGGTACAAGCCGTGGTGGGATCACTCTGAGAGGAAGAAAATTCTTTGTGTGTGCTTTTCTTATGCTTTTTGAAAGCAACATGTATTCAACAGTAGGACCCATAATGAACCAACAAGACCTGCGCACCTGAGCTGCCACTGTGTCGATCCAGACTCCAGCACAATGGGACATTCGATTATCGAAAATCTGTCTGGAGCACAGTTGCGCACAAATTTCGACCCTTCGGTTTGCTGTGCCCAGGGTAAGGAGGTCCCCAAGCTCGAAATTAAGAGAGATGTGAAGGGCATGGTCAGCGTTCAGGGCGTGACGCGCGTGAACGTCACTTCGCCAGAGGAGCTCATGCAAACCATCGAGGACGGTCAGAACAGACGGCATGTGGCTTCAACGCAGATGAATCGTGAGTCGTCACGCTCACACCTTATCATGAGCATCATCATTCAGAGCACAAATCTCCAGACTCAGGCCGTCACAAGGGGCAAGCTCAGTTTTGTGGACTTGGCTGGATCAGAGAGGTGAGCCAACGAGTGCTGCTGCCTGTTTCTTTATGCGTGTTCCTCACGACCAGTGTCTGGTTTGGCCTTGATATTGAATGCAGCATGGGTGATGTCTATTGTCCTGCGACCTTTCATGCGCATTCCCATACTGTTATTGATTTGTGAGTCAGGCCAGACGGAGTGCAATAGAGTCGTGTTGCGACTACGCACATAATGGTTGCCCAAGCTCACGCACCAGTTGAAAATTTGGGTCAAGAATGTCATTGGCAGGTGAATGTGTTGCTGCCTTTCAGGGTGAAGAAGTCGGGGTCCACAGGAGAGCAGCTGAAGGAAGCGCAGGCGATCAACAAGTCTCTGTCGGCCCTGGGCGATGTCATATCCGCCCTGGCCACAGACTCCCCTCACATCCCCTACAGGAACCACAAGCTGACGATGCTCATGAGCGACTCCCTGGGCGGCAACGCCAAGACACTCATGTTTGTCAACGTGTCCCCGACCGATCAGAATCTGGACGAGACCCAAAACTCACTCCTGTATGCAACCCGGGTGCGCACTATCAAGAACGACCCAAACAAGGACGAGACAAACAGGGAGATCACCAGGTTGAAGCGGCACATTGATTATTGGAAGCAGCAGGCACAGATGCCTGGAAGTGACCGAGATGTGGATGCCCTGACAGCTGCACTGCAGGGGGGCGAGTGATTCCTGGGAGATTGGTTCTGTTGCTGTTGCTCCTGGCGTTGCTACTTCGCTCAGCTCCCTGGCATCAGAGGCCACATGCTGGTGCATCTCCCAGACGCTGGGGGCCCCAAGGGAGCACCCACAGTGCAATGTCAGCAGCATGGGTTGTGGCGCAGGGGAAGCGTTTGCACGGTAGACTTATTGTCATGGCAAGCGTGATGGACGAGATTGGAAGGATTGGGCAGTAAATAGTTGAGCATGTGCTATAGGATGTGCGTGTGCAGCTTACGAGCAACCTTACTGGCGACAGGGGTTCGTGCCATCAACATAGTGGGCGGCCTGTCGGAGAGCAACAGCTTCAAATGCCCCACTGTCCCTTGGCTTGGCGGCTGCTTCAGCTCACCCAAGCTCATTGCGTGCTGCCGCAGCTAGCAGACGCCACCTTGGTGGCATGCTGGAAAGAGTAGTTTGGTTTCCTGCTGGATCAGGATTGAAGGGCAATGCCAGGAAGTTGACACATCATCGCGCTCCAGCGATGCTCTCACTGCCTGTGTTGTCTGGGCCCCTTTCGAGGGCGCAGCTGGTCGATGGAGGGGAGCCACTTAGTTGTCATGCACGGGGAAGGGCCAGAAGCAGCCCCTTTCTAATGGACAACCTATGTCAAGCAACGGATACATCGACGGGCAGCCAACACGGCAGGCTGCAAGGAACGTGAGCTGCAGGCAGTGTTCAAAGCGCAACAATAACCTGCAAAAACAGGGGTGGGGATGGGGCCTGTGTTGGAGTGGGCGCCATCTTGGCTCCGTGCCTGCCCTTTGTCAAATAAGATTGTAATTTATTGGTGGCGGTAGGTGGTTGTTACGCCAGCAGGGGCCCCAGGCGGCAGCGACTGGAGTAGTTTAGTTCGAGAGTCCACAGTGGCAGTTGGGAGATGGGTCCTGCCTTGGGGATGCCAAACACACGAAAGACGACCTCAACGTCTTATTGTCCCCTTTGAGCGTGATTGGCATCGTTGTTCAGTAGCTGCAGGAAGGTGGTTGGAAAGGCGGCGACGGGACACCAGGGTTGGCTTGGTGACTGTGCTCTCCCGTTGGATGCCGGCCAAATAGATGTTGTCGGGCCGCTTCCGCTTTTACTCGTGAAGACACCCTTTCGTTTCACGGCGCATGGCTTGTGCTCTCTGTGGGTGGGCTGAGGGGCGCGCGTCGTAGTCGAAACACCAAGTTCCACCCCAGAGGTCGAAGCATCACGCCAAATGTCACACAAAAAGTGGCGTGCTGTTCACAGGCAAGCTGTGATGTGATGATGTCGATGGTCTCTGCGCGTTGACTGCAAACTCAGTCCGCTTCTCCAACGTCTGAGCGTGCCAACGCGGGCGCTATCATTCCATTTTCGCCTGCGCACATGGACTGGCAGCCAATGTTGACGATTTTGCTCCACCTGCCTTGCAAACACTGCCTCGCGAACACTGCCTCGCGAAGGGGGGGATTACCATTTCGACTCGATGTGATTCGGCTTTATGAGCTTGGCGTCCAACGCAAGCGCAAAGGGGAAGGGGGGGGGGGGCGTGGGCCCAAAGAGATATGAGTTGCGTCAAGGGAAGAAGTGACCGGAATGGCGTTTGTGGTGCGCCAAGACTATGGGGCCAGGAAAGCTATGCACATGCTCTGTATGCCCGTGACTGCGCTCATTTCAGACGTGGCGGCGTTGGGGAGTTGCCGCTGGGGGCAAATCTGCTGGACAGGACGGTGAACATGGCGCTCAGTCCACTGGAAGTCCAGAGGACACGCAGTGAGGGGGTCACAGATAGCAGCGATGGTGAACAGGTGCTCAACGGTGATCAGCAGCACCCATTGGTGATTGGCACATTACACTTGCCGGATTTTGGCTCCTGAATCGAAGAGCTGCGCATGGAACGGTGAGCCTGTACAAACGCGCGTGAAGAACTGGACGATTGGGGAGCACACAAGATCGGTACGAAAGGCCTGGCTCCGAAGCAGGATCAGAAGCTGAGGAGCAGCCTCTGCTGGCATGCCCACACATGGTATGGCGGTTGTGCGCACCGCCCACCTACGGGCTTCACGACGGTGGCCAGGGCATTGTGGATAGGGATGCGCCCTGAGCGGAGGACGCACCGCACAACCTTTGAACGTCACATCAAACAAATAGAAAGAATACGTCGATACCTGTTCAATCCATGCGTTTATGCCCCTTCGCCCATAAAAGTGCCGAATCATTCAATCTCTTCCCTGAAATTAAATCCACGTGCAGAATTATCTTCCCTGAACCTTGGCCACCGTCAAACGGAAGCGCGTCACGCTTCCACCTTCCCCGCAGCGGCGAGCTCCACGGCTGGGGTCTGCACCGATTCCTTTTTGCTCGAAGTCTCGGGCTTTGTCCCTTGCCTCACTTCCTCAATCACCGCTTCCCACTTCTTTGCTGGCTTCTTCCAGGAGAGGTCTTGGTCGATGCAATTCTGGACCATCTTGGAGAAGGCAGGCGTCGGGAAGATCTTCACGGCCCTGGCGCACAGAAAATGGTCGCGGTTGAATCGCAGGACCAAAGCCTAGCAGCTGGCCCACAACTCGATGGGACAAATGGTGTCGATTCGGTGGCCATTCTCAGCACAAATCCACAACAATGAGGAGGCCAAGGGTGCGAGAGTGGAAGAATATCGGTTTCTCACACAAACAAAGACTCGAGTTGGAAGCTGTTGTGCCTGTCATTGCCTCTTCAAATACCAGCGCTTTCCTTAGCATGTGTTCTTGGACAATCAAAGAAGTCACAAACAACACGCTCTTCAATGGCAAGTCGTTTGGATCAAGAAAAGCAACCTGTCACATTTCATAGACAATTTCCTAAGCGTTGTCGTCTCACCTGGCGACAGTCTCGGCCATGGCTTCCACATCATCCTCCACCAAGTCGTCCAAGTCCAAGGCACCCATGTGAAAGCCAGTCACTCTTTCCTTCACCGTATCCACAAGGCCTCCTGTGGATGCCACTATGGGTACGGTCCCATACTGCATGGCATGCAATTGAGTCAGGCCACAGGGCTCAAAGCGTGAGGGTACCAGCATGTAGTCAGAGCCAGCAGTGATCAAATGGGCGAGCCTGGGAGAGAACTTCACGATGCCCTTCGCCATGTCTGGGAACTTTGTCTCCAGTGCCTGAGGACGCCACACCAGCGATTGTTGAGAGTCACAACTTCGTACCACAAGGGGAACTGGACAAATTCCAAGAACAAGCGTACACATCACACTGGCAGTGCTTGGGTTTCATGGCGGGAACATGAGAGGTCCACGTTGGGAGCAAGAAATGAATGCATCCATAATAGAAATAGTCACTGTAATATAAGCAGTACTATATCAATACTGGGTCATGTTCTAGTGCCAAACTTTGGGTAGTGTTCATGTCACTGTGCACAATGCAGGTACAACAGAGAGGCCAATTTGGCAACAAACAGTGCTGCAAGCGAAGAGCACCTGACACTGACTATGATATGCAAGGAGAGTCATCTGCAATATTTATTTGACCATTGGAAGATTACACATTTTCACTGGCAGTACTCATCCACAAGTTGATCGACTTATTCAAAGTGGGTTTCCAACTGAACTTGAGGAATTATATCCAAGGAAACTCAAGGAAATTCCTTGTCGGCAAAAATGGACACTTGACTCATTTTGTCAAAATCATCATACCTTCACTTGCGTCTCAAACTTCTTCTTTCCAGTTCCAAGCACAGCGATTTGCACATCCTCTTCCTTCAGGATCTTCTGTGTCGCCTTCAACATGATGTCGACACCTTTCTGCTCCTCAAGACGCCCCACAAAGCCAAGCAAGGGGACTTCTGCATCAATCTGAAACGGAACATGCCAATAAATCATATGTGCAGAGCATCATATGCGCTACAGTTCTCTGGATTCTCATGGCCAGTATGGGCATTACATCAATGCGTGATGTTCTCAACGCAAATGCTGTTGCACAAGAGATTCGCAGGAGAGGCACAGTGCGATGCTGGCACTAGAACTTGACAAACATGCCAACCAGGTTTCTTCACTTTTCCCTGCTCATTCCTGAGCACAAGCGTTGATGCACTCAGAGGCCTGTGTATTCACTGCCAGCAAACAAGGTAGTCTTGCAAACCATTCAACTAAAGATGCGATCAAAATAGAACCATAGAACTCCAAAACAAGGATACAGGAGGAACTTCAACACTGAGACCAAATTTTTCTTTTCTTTCTTTGTGTTTGGATACCTGCACTTGCTGCTTTCGTAGGGCCTGTGACAACAGAGCCTTAGAAGCTGACAAATATCACCAGTTGGTGCACAAAGCAAAGAGGGATCTCACCGGAAGACCAAGTTCGGCTTGGAGCAGCTCTTTGGCCACAGCCTTGCCCTCCTTCACGGTGTCCTTGTCGAACTTCACATCAAGGTACTTGTCTTTCATTGGACTCCATTCGCTGACTTCCATGCCATTGACGATGCCTTCCACACCTCCAGCCTTGAGAATCGTCTCGTCCAATTCAACACCAAGATCCTCCCCAGATGTGATTTCCTTAGCGTAGTTGGGGCTGACAGTCAGGATTTTGTCTGCAGAGAGGAACGCAGCCTGTAGGTAGCAACACGCATGGCAGATTGTTGGCAAAATGGACCACACTTCTAGCAGGCGACAACTTTGAAAACGAAATGGAGAACAAAGGTTGCCGCAGTTCCCACACTTCAGCCCACCACACTTCTTGCCGTGCATCGCTGTGTGAGTGAATAGACAAATGGTTTTCAGCATGGCCATAAACAATCAAAGATGAACCTCACAGTTATTAGCGCTAACGATCAAGGCCACCAACTGGACGCATGAGCAAGAAATGTGTGTGCACTGAACTGTTGTCCTCTTTGGCAAATCACGTGCATTTTTGTCAGTCAAGTTTCTTGTGCCTCCCTGGTGAAAAACAGAAAATGTCAGCTCCATGAACTTGCAGATGAAGACATGGAGTTCAGCACAGGTTGAACCCTGCAGATGTCAGCAAGTTGGCATAACTGCAAGCACACCTTCATCCAGTTGATCTTTTTGTATTTTTTCACAGGATCCTCCACCATCATTTCAACATCGTCCACTGCAAGGTCCTCATCGTATATGAAGGGGTACCCATCCTCAAACTCGAATTTTTCATATGAAGATGGAGGCAGTCCGAGGTCCTTGAAATCTTCAGCCCAAAAGCGACCCTGCAGCACAGCAACACTCAATGGTATCAGACTGCCACATGGCACAAGTGTTCAAGCATACGCTCTCGCAGCACTGCATTTTCTGCACAGCCGAGAGGCCCGGAGGCACTTGTGTGTGAACATCAGCAGGCCAACAGACAGTAAGTACCCCACTGTTTTGAGGTACTCAAGTTGAACTGGCATCCATCATAATGCACGTTGAGCAACATAAAGCAAAGCAGTGTGTCGCCTGTTTGGCTTACCAGCATGTTAAAACAGAGGAGCACAGTGGAAAGGCATATCTTGCACCTCAAATTTTAGCAACATTCACTTTGGGAATATAATTTATGACAATATTGTAGATCGAGCACAGCACAACATCGTTCTTCCCTCCTCACCTGGAAGGCAATATTGTGTACGCAGAACAACACCTTGGACTCAGTAAACTCTCCTCGGGGCTTGTACACATCCTGCAAAACAAAGACTAAGAGTGAGCCACAGAAAAGAAGGGCATGCTGGCATGATGCACCACCTACAAGGGAAACCCCAGTGGAGGGGTTGTGAGGTTCACAAGCACCAGAATCGACATGTGCAATGACATTGCCTCACAGTACGCTCAAGCGTTTTTGCGGCTGAGGAGAGGGGATCAGCTGATTTATTTTTCCGCCGTTCATCATCGCCTGCAAGATGCAAGGGCTTTGTTTGTCATAGTTCTTCTGACGCAGCTGCAAACCAAGAATTCTCACACTGACTGCCACAGAATTGAAGTGATCTTTTTGTTGACTAGGGGACCAGGCCCCACTGTGGGGAGCATTATGTTCACGCAATATCAGAGCGAGGGGCTAGGTTCCCGTGACGCAGGATTCCTCACCAAGTGTGCCTCCACTCACTCAGCTCATTCAAGATCCGGATGGAATGCAGCTGCCAAATCACAGGCCACGACGCCTGTGGCACTGCGAAATGCAGCCAACCGTCGCGCGCGCACAACCCACATGGTCGCCAAGGAGCGCCACCACTGGGCGCGCCTGCGCGGATCGTCACCTTGATGAGCACCGCCAGCAGGCCAGAATGCCAGTCGTTCGCGATGAAGGTGCAGTCCTCCCCTGGCCCGAAGGGCAGCGCCCTGGCGGCCTCTATGGCCGCCGTGCAGAACAGCTTGAAGCGCGTCTGGTTGTCCCTGAAGTCGGCGCCCGTCTTCTTGCCGTACAGTTTGGACCCGGTCTTGCCCCACACCTTGGCCAGGAACACCGGGTGGTCCACGAACACCCGATCGACGCCGTCCTTCCTGGCGTGAAAGAACCGAACCTTCTCTCCCAGCACGTCCACCTCCACCGACGTGTCCCAGCAGTCTGAGTACTGATCGTACCTGCGGACGCAGACTGGGAACCAAGTCAAGGAAACTGCCAACGGCGGTCAAGGCTGCAGGCGACCATTCTCGCAAACCGTTCGCGCAACGCGCCGACTGGCAAACCGCCATCGTGCACCGGCTTTCGGGCGCGATCCCGTGGCGTGATCCACCCAATCGATCGCGTGGCCCACCGCGCACCCCGCCGACAGCAAGCGTTGCGGACCTGTGCGCTAGCTGAGATCAGACCAGGCACCCCCCTATGCACGGCTCCCTCATGCACAGCGACAAACTGGATCCTTAAAAACAGGAGCTCTCGTCGCGTCCGCGCCGAGCACACGCCCGCGAACCCAGCCTGTCGCCAAGCCAACAATTGGACTCCGTCAGGGTCAGATACACCGTGAGTCAATTTCTGCCGGCGACTTCAAAGCATAAACCTCCGGGCGCACCTCGGCGAGATCGTCATCACCCTGTGCCCCAGCTTGGCCAGCTCCACGGGCAGCCCGCTGACCACGTCGCCCAGCCCCCCGGTCTTGCTCCACGGCGCCACCTCCGCGGACACGAACACAAGCCCCATGGACGCCGATGCCGATGCCGACGCCTGCACCCTGCCGGGCCCATCTCCCCTCGACGCCCCCGCGACCCACGCCGCCACGCGCGCGCTCAGACCCCCTTGCCGATCGGTCCGCGCAGCAACTTCGGTCAGCCGCCCAGCATTCGCCATGCCCTTGAAGATCGGGATCCCCTCTTGGGGGATCCCACCCGGAGAGGCACGAGGATGCAATCTTTGGCCACACCGCGGGGACGCCGACGCGAAGGGCTTCATCTTCAACGCGGCGGGGGGTGGTGGGGGGTGGCGGGCGGCGGTGTGTGGGGTTGTTTGGCAGGAGCGGCGCAGCCGGGGGGGGGGGGGCCTGGGCGGGCCTTTGTTCCTTGTCGCCCGCCGAGCGTTGCGAATCGGCTGTTATGACGTGGCGTCAGTGGCGGGCTTGGATGGGCGTTGAGCCGCAAGAGCGGCAGGTTGGGGCGCGCTTTCCTCCACGTGCTTTCAAAGGATGCGTCTTGAAGCTGGTACGTTCTGTTCTTCTGGCGGAATACCCGCCTCCTATCCCAAGATTTCCACCTGACCGGTCTCCTGAACCCACCCGGTCATGTTTCCCACACGACAAGACATTACAACAAAGGTGTCCATCACCAACAACTCCACATACCCGAGGTCCCCGTACTTAACAGTTTGCCCATTCACTCTCCAAGGGCACGGGAGGCACCTCCGGGGCAGAAAATGTGCCCAAACTGGGCGTGGAGGTCGCGGGCGGTGATCGTCATCCACCCGAACAAACGAAAGTCCCACTCAGTGGGTAAACGAAAAATGTCCACGTACGACCACATGGAGTCTGACTTCCAGCCACCCCAGTCCCGAATGCGCTGCTCGGCGACCTCCAAAGCGAAGCAGCTGGACGCACCGCCGCCGCGGAGGCCATGGTGCGTAAAAGGTTCCCGAGCGATGCTCGGGTGCCGGGCCAGCAAGTCCGAAAACCAAGCGGCCACCGTTTTGGAGCTAGGGGACGCCTCGCCCGGAAGGCGGTAGAAATGGCGAGGCGCTTGGTCCGTCTGGGCCCAGGTGCGGTCGCGGAAAGCCGTCCATCGAAGAATGAGATCCACGACCTCCGGGGCGCCTTGGGTCGGCCAGGACCGAAAACGCAAGCGAGGGGCCGCATCCTTGTGCAGCTTGGACTTGCGTTCCCGAAACAAAATGACCCCGTCAGCCACCCGAATGTCCTCTGCCAGAACGAAGTGGCCCGATTGCGCCCGGTTGAAAAAGATGTAGTCGATGTATGCCGCGCACGCCGCCTGAAGGAAGGTCCCGTCCTCCGTGGTCAATCCCACGTCGAGGATGCGAATCATCACCTCGATGGGCACAGGGCGGTGATGTTGCACGGGGGCAGGCGCATCCCGACGCCATGCGCGGGTGAGGACACGGGTGACCGGGTCAAAGGCAGAAAAGCCAAGGTGCCCAGATATATGGTGCACCATGGAGATGGCCGCGAGATACTGCGGCAAAGAACGAACCCCCACCTTGCCTTCGTCACGGAGGAACCGAATGTAGCGGTAGATGGTGGCGCGACGAGCAGGCAGCGGTTGCAAGGCATGTGCCTCGCAAAAGGCCTGGAAACGCAGGAACTTGGCCTGCATAGTCCGCCGGGTGGCCTCCGTATAGGAGGCAAGGAACTGCTGTGCCATCCAGCTCCGATCGTCCACCAGCAAGCCATCCACTTCGGTGCCGTACAGCGGATGGTCCTCGGGGACCGGTTCCAAGGGGAAAGGATCCGAAGGAGGCTCCCCAGCGTGAGGCGCCGGAGCCTCCGGTTCGCTCAGGGCGTCCTCGCCGGTGGGGTCCGCAGTGTCGTCGGGTGCGTCCTCGGCGCCACATGGAAGGCGCGCAAATTCCAGCGCGGAGGCGGAAGGGAGGACGGGAGGCTCGGATCCCTAGGGAGAAAGAGGTTGGGCTGGCGGGGAATGAAGATCTCGGCCCGCGCCATTGCCCGGAGGCGGGGAAACCAAACCGCGCTCGGCCAGTCTGGCGCTAGCACCACAGCGTCCAGCTGCGGCTTCGAGGCAAGGAAGGCGACAAGCCTCGCGAGGAGGCTCCACGGGGGATTGCACCAGCTGCGCGTCCCCGTCCAGTTCTGTGCGAAGGCGTCGACGCCCGACGTACCCACATCCCAATGTTGACTGTTGTAGGCCTCGCAGAGGGCATTCCGAGCGGATGCAAAGTGTTCCACTGAACAGGCCCCGAAGCGGTGGACGACCTCCTGGAATATGCGCGGATTGAGGCGGTAGTCCTCCGAAGTCCGTATACGCGAAAGCCTGTCCGGGAGGACATTGTCCGCTGATCGAATGTACTCGGGCTCCAGGAGCAACTTCCGCATCGCACAAATAGTTTGCAACTGGCGAAGGGGCCTCAAGAGACTGGCTGACTTGGTAGTCATCGAGTTGAGGCAGTGCAGAACCACCTGGTTGTCCACGAGCAAGCGAAGCCGGCGAGAAGCGGTCCTGGGGCACCGGCGAGGAAAGAAAGACAACAGGGCCAAGTATATGGCCAGCATTTCACGGACATTGATGTGAATAAGCTCCCGATCAAAGAATCCGCGGGCGAGAAGGGGTTGATCACCGCCAAGAGGCGTAAAAGTGGCCCCCCAGCCGGTGAGGCTGGCGTCCGTAGCTAAGGTGCCCACCAGCTCCAAGGATGCGGAATTGAGCGACCTGCCTGCCAACCGACCGATCTGGGCCCAGGCGGCCAATTCCAAACGAGCTGCGGCAGTCAAACAGAGCCGATCTCGCCAAGAGCGCTTGCCGCGCAAAAGAGAGTAGAGATCCGTCAAGAAAAACCATGCCAACGGAAAAGCCAAGTACAAAGAAATGGCGGAGCCACAGAACTTGGCCAGATACCGAGCGACAATGAAACCCCGTCGACTAATCTGTTGGGCCCGCCGCGAAATGGCCGCAACCTTGTCCGGAGGGACCTAAAATTGGCACTGTTTGGTGTTGATCATGATCCCAAGATGCTTCTTGCGTTGGACCGGCTCCCACTAACATTTGGACTCCTTAAAAGCGAGCCCAAGAGTGGCAAAAACCCGGCGGACCAAACTGGACCATTGGGTCAGCCGCTGAGGATCCGACATGGCAGCAATGAAATCATCTAAATAGGCCAAAATCAGCGCGGGAAGCTCCCGCGAGTACTTGAGATAGTACTGGAGAATGGAATCCTCCCCCGCTAATCGACCAAAACGAAAACGAGTGGTAGCTTTCGGACAAGAGCTGGGGGTCCTTAAGAAACAGACCACTACCAACATGAGTTGCGTGAAATAAAAGGGGGAGAGGGCCAAGCCAAAAGGGAGTGCCCGGCAAGCAAAGGTCTCCCCACCCATACGAAATTGAAGAAAATGTTCTTGATCCGCCCTCATCCGAATATGATGATAAGCGTTTTTGATGTCGAATCCCACCAAGTAATCGTGTTTCTTCAACAGAAATCCAAAATCGCGCAGTTTCTCATAACGAAGACCAACCTTCTTGAGATAGCGATTGATTCGCCGAAGATCGATGATGAGCCGGTATTTGGTCTGGCTATTCTTTGCCGGCTTGGCCACCAAGAAAGCGCGCGAAATCCGGGCGTCGGAAGAGGGGTTGGTCCGGACGATCGCCCCCATCTCGAGGTATTCGTCCCGCAGATCCCGCCATGCTCGCCATTCCTCCGGAGTCGTCAAGGGATATTCGCCCTGATCGAAGGGGGCCGGAGGGCCCATCGGGCCCCATTGAAGGGGGGCCCCGGTGTGGATCCATTGCAAGACGCGCGAAGGCGCCCCGATGCGGCGCCACCCGGAGAGACGGCCCCGAAGACGAGCGTACGGCGGGTCCTCTAGGCGGCGAGTTTGGGGACCTGGGACAGAGCGTTGGGGCCCGCCGGCGGCTTGGAACTCTTGCCCTTGAAGTGGCGAGCGCCGGAGGTGGACGCATCCACAGGATTGGGAGCCGGAGCGGCGCGATCGAGGTTGGCCTGGTTCTTGGTGGCAGCCGACTTGGTCGCCAACTTCAACTGCTGATTGAGGACCTCCTTGCGAATGTGCTCCAGCGGCTCGTCGATCGAAGGATCCCAAAAGCGCTGATGAACGGCGCCCAGCCGAACGCTGGTCTGGAGCGCGCGCCACAACCCGTCGAGGGACGTCCCCTTGTGCTCCCCGTGCACTTGCTGGAGACGGATTAGGCTCTGCAATCTTGTCGTAATCGTCACCTGGGCGTGGAGGTACGGCAAGAGGGCGTCCCGAAAGATGGGCGGGAATTCCTGGTGCACCGCGAAGTCGATCAAGGTGGCCGTGAGGTCGAAGAGCCACGCGACGTAGGGCGCCCAGTTCTGGTACTCCTGGAAGTAGCCGGAGTTGGTCCCCAGCGCCTGCGCGAGCTGCGCGCCTTCAGAAGTCCGCCTCATGTCGAACCACTCGGGAAAACGGACCCCCGGAGGTCGGACCACCGGGTTGGTGACTGACCGCGGAAGGAGGCGGGGGTCCGGTAGCCAGACGGCGTCGAGAGAAGCCGTAGGCTGACCGTCGTTGAACCGGACGGCTTGTTCTTGAAGCCACTGCTCCGCAGGTGTCCGGTTCATAAAAAGAACTCGGCCAAGACGGCCGGGGAGGGCAAGGCATTCGGTGCCTTCGGGTTGTGCCAACAAGTGGCGCGAAGCGAAACAAGATAGGAGGGGGACCGAGGGGGGAGCCTAAATAGCCGCCCCCGCTCAGCCCCGCCAAAGCCCGCCAAGTCCAAGCCGCCAAAACGGGCGGACCCTTGGACACTCCGTACTTTGACTGACCCAAGGTACAAGGAAGGGCCAGAAACCTGTTTGAATACGATTGCGCCCGATTCGAAACTCGGCGCAACCCACCCAACGTCGTCCTGGGTGGAAATCTATTAACAAGATAGTTAATGTCATGTCTTTTCAGGCAACTTGGAATCCACAGCTTCTGCAGCACAAAGACGAGCATTGTTACTATTCGTCTTCTTTGCTGCAAAAGTTTCAGATTCCAGTCGGGCGGCGCATTAGGCAAGTCTCAGGGTACAGGGTGCACAGAAGAAACCAACGCCAGTGGACCAGGGCGGCTGTCTGCAAAGAGACTCAAACAACAGTTGGATTTCCTCCACGGTGTGGAAGGAATTGTGAGGAGAAGAGTGACGGGTCTCTGGCATTGCCAGCGTAGCAACAGTGGATTAATGTGTTACTTTGCTGACCGCATTGTGCCGCGGGCAGCATCATATTCGGCAGGCGATGTCCTAGTGATGATGTCCTCATGAACGGCGCCACCACAGCAATGAAAGCAGGAACTGGGCAAACACACCAGCGAGAGGGACCATCTGGCATGCTTGCATTGTCGTTCGCTTGTGTTGGCCAATCTCAACAGGACCGCAGAATGCAGACATCGTTCCCTGCACAGCAGTACTGCTGTTCAACATGCACGCATGTCAAACTGCATCAACGGGTGTGCAAAAGACGTCTTGGGCTGCGACCACACAGGCATCTGGTAGGCCACTGCAGGGACTTCAGGAGCGGAAACACTCAGTCTTTACAATGTTTGCAGAAATGGTCCCTAGTTCTCTTGGTAAACTGTTCACCATCACTGCCACTGTGCCTATGCTTGCATCCTCTGTGCAAGTTCCTTCTGCAGGATCTTCTCCCTCTTCCTGAGTTTGTGCTGTGACTTCATTCCCAGGACACCACCACCCCAGCTGATCCTTGGACCCTCGTTGAACATGGCCTTGCAAGTCTCGACTATCTTCGAAAACTCCCTCTGGTCCTCATTCTTGACATTGGTAATGGCCAAGCAGGCAGCCGTCTTCTGGTGCACAACACTGCCCAACCTAGCCTTGCCCTGCAACAGCACATACTACTTAGTAGTACAACTTTACTCGAAACCTCATATGTTGCATCCCAGACATGATTTTCTGCATGGAGATCGCCTCCACAGCATTCAGTTCCACATCCAGTTTCTGTTCATGAGCACATCATCAAGCACAGGATGACAAACCGCACTGAACAGCTCAGCATATCAGATTTCCAGCCTTCGTGGAAGTCGGACATCAATGAAATCAACACCAGAGCCCATAACCACAGTGCATTTCCTTCCTGCAATGGCTTGTGCACCACTTCGATGCAGCACAGCACCGAAAAAGCAGGCCAGATGGCCCCACCTTCACTATGCAGTATGGTACACCCATTTTCTTGCACAATGCAGGGAGCCATATGACCAGCTCCAGAGGATCGACATCGTGCGCAATGATGACCAACTGGGCTTTGACATTCTCGACCAGGGCAGTGACATGCTTCAGACCAAATTTAACCACAATGGGCTTTTTCTTCTCGATCTGTCACACAACAAGAAATACAAATCAGGCCATCCTGTGTGCCACGGTCAGGCAGTGGCAAACCTGCTGCACAAGATTGGCATCGTCTCAAACACCATTGTCATTGCCACAAAACTTTGCACAAACTATCCGCCCTGCAACCAGCGTGGAAGTAGCAGCAGGTCTGATAAGCCCTGGCACACTCTGCTGAGGACAAGCAGTCGACAGTATCCGCCACCACGTTCACAGTGTGCAGCAGTTGTTTTGTCCTGTGAAGGCAAGCACAACCGAAACGGAGTCCTGCACAACAACAAATCGACTGCACAGCCGAAAGGCGTCAGCCGAAGCTAGTTGCATACCTCCATTTGCTTTTCACGCAGCTCCGCTTCTTGTTGCAGCCTGATCTGCTTTGTCTTCCTGTCCTCTGGCCGGTATTTCATGAGCAGCTTGAAGAGGGTACTTGCTTGGTTGCGGTCCAGGCAGTGTGTGAACTGGTTGATGGCTGGCGGTACCTTCAGACGCATGCACAGGATTCTCCTTTGCCTCTGAACCCGCACGTACTTGGGCCACCGAACCCATCTGTGCATGTCGCGCTTTGGCGGTGGGTAATTACCGGGCCCTGCAGTGAAGAGAAAGACACAGCCCCAGTCAGAACCCGGCAATGGGCAAGCAGCATCCCAGGGTTGCTGTTGCTGCATCTCCAGCGTTGGTCATCGCTAGGCGAGCATCTGTTTTGGACAATTCACTGCCCGAGTTGCACAAGAAACATGACAAGTAATGAAATCGGCAACTCCTCTCACACCGCTGCGTGTCATTCATTTGTTTCACCATAACCCGAAGCCTCTCAGGTCGCATCTATCTTCCCGATCTGTGACAATCTCACTACCAAATGGACAAGACGGGGGACCGCCCTGCAGGGCACCAATCCAAGAACGCCTGTTCTCAGAAGTAAGCGAGCGCATCAACGATGGGCACCTCTCTTCTGGGCAACATCCGCGGCTGGAAAACTATCTAACTGTGAATGAGTGTGTCCATTGCAGACATGTGAGAACCACACTGGTCACGGCACGTGTCCCCATAGCATTCAGAACAACAGACAATGCTGGACAACCATACCCTGCGAAAAGATGCGCATCCGAGCGCAACATCAACAACTGGCAACACATGCGCGACCACCGATCGACGCCCGAACGCGACATCTGCGTACCAACGGCCTTCGACCTGGACTCGTACAGGTTCTCATAAGGATCCGCCTTCTTCTTCTTCGCCACGCCGCCCGTCTGAAACACACACCAAACGCTCTCAAGCCCGGGGATGGTTCAACAGGAACGCCGCCGGCGGCGCCGGCGGCCGATCCCTCGCATCCCGAGAGGGCGCGAGGTCCACATAGGACTCGCAATTTCGACGGCTCGCTCCTCGCCACTCGGCCCGGCAGATCGCCTGCCCACCTTCTTCGCGACGGCCGCCGGCACGGGGGCGACCTTCTTCTTCGTCACCTGGGCACGGATCATCAGAGCGTCAGGCGATCACTGCAAGCAAGGAAAGCGCGCTCGCTCCCAAAGACTCTCTCCGCGGCCACGCACCATTCTTTCCGGTCGTTCGCGAGGGGCCGCTCGGAGCGCGGGTGTCCTCTCCCCTCCAGTCGCCGCCCGGTGACCTGGTAGGCGTGGCGGCTCAGTCCAGGCAAACACAGCAAGGGCAAACCAGCTGTCGACACCTGAAGGATTTTCCTTTCAATCAACTGTTTCGGCGCAGTTAATTGTGCTTGGGCCGCCATAAACGTGCATAATGATGAAAGTCACCCCCCAGGCAATGGTGAGTCCACCAGGTGCTGACCAGCACAAACAGCAAGCCGCGAGACCCCAGTGATGCGCTCCGCGGCCTCTGCGGACGAGCACACCAGCGGCCAACCACCGGCGGGGTCGACCTTGCCCAGCCATGCGGACGAGGACGGGCCTGTTTCTGGCGGCGCTTCTGGCGGCCTGCGTGATGCACAGCGCTCGGTGCCAGGAGGGGCCCGCCACGATCGAGGTGCTGCCCGAGTGCATGGGGAAGGCGCAGGAGGTGGAGGCGCTGCTGGAGCGGCACCCGTACTGCATGCGGGCCCTCAGGGCGAAGAAGCGCTGTCCGTTGACGAGCATAGAGGTGGACGCCTGCGCCAAGGTGGGGCCGCAGCCAAGGGCTTGCCACGGCATGTGTGAGTCACGTGATTTCATTTTCGGCAAGTGACAAGATACAGCCCCCGCGCCTGAACCGCCAAGTCGGGTGCGAGTCCGGTTGGCGAATGGACAAAAGTGGGTCGCTGTAAATGCTGAAGTCCAATGCGCAAGGGTGAGCTGGTTTGGGTCCTGGGCGTTAGGCCATGGGGCAGCCATGCTCGGCGCTTGTGTCGGCGTCAGCGTCTGCTATCGAGGGACGGGGTCACGCTTTTCGAGCCCGCTGGGGCGCGCTGCGCTTTTCCGGCGGGGCGGATGCTGTGTCGCGTTGCGGGCGAACGTGCTATTGGTCGCACAGAAGCCTGCTGTTGTGTCAAGGGCTGCTGTTCCGCCTTGCCTGAATTCAGCGCGTCAGCGTTGACGGGGCTCGTCACATACCAAAACTTCAAATCATCCCCCGTGGCTTGGAACTTTGTTTGAAACTATTTGCTCGGAATTCTGTGTTCACCGCTTGTTAAAGTGGATTGCTGTGTCGCTGCAGACGATGAAGGAATCGGTGGTGGAGGCGATGCGGGTTTGCCAAGCGGTGGGTTGATGCGCGTGGCGCCAGGATTCCCAGTTCAGATGCATATGGTGGCTGCTGCCTGACGAAACAAAACGCAAGGAAGCTGCATGTGCATAGTCCTATTGAGGCAACGGTGGTAGCCAGAGTATCCCTGGTTCATACAAGGAAGTCTTGAGTGGACAGCCACTGCAACTTGTATAGTGACTGTAATTCGTGAACACCTGCGCAGCAAACTTGCCTGTATTGCTAACTGAGAGCAGCTGGGGGACAAGCAATGCTGCAGAAGATGTTGTCCTTCATTGTTGTGAAGTATGTTGGGCAGTTTTCTGTAGGAGCTTGGCCTAAACAGTCAAATCTATTCACATACCTCCCAAGGATCCCCAACTGGCTCCCGTGCAGGAGGTCAGTCGGCTGCCTTTATCATCCTCTCTGTTTGTCGTTGCAGGCGGCTGAGAATGAAGGGGGTCTCAGGTTCTTTGCAAAGCTGGGTGGCCCATGCAAATTTGGTGAAAAGCTGGGGACCATGGAACAGTTTGAGACTTGATAGCAGTGCTCCAAAGCAAGACAATCTTCCACATGGGCTGGCTGCTGAAGAAGAGCAGGCAGCCAAACTTCCTTCTATTAACCTCAAGACAATTTTGAGATTCCATAGTGGGGAAGCTGCAGGGATTGATCCTCTGCGGAGGTGTGATCCATGCACGTTGGGTGGGGAGGGACGCAACGTGGGTGAGGGCGTCAATGCAAATGGTATGCAAGTGTGCAGGTTGGCGTCGTGCCAAGCCATGGATGACCACCAAGACAAGGCAAGGTGTTGTAATACTGGCTGTTGACCACTTGGAAGTGGTGATAAGGGACAGTTCATTGGTATTGATGCACCTGTCCGCTGCTTGGTGATTGTTGATGCCACAGAACACCAAAACATGGACAACAAACAGAACCTAACGCCACCACGACATATCCCCACCCCACCTCCCACACACCCACACCATGGGTGCTTGGCTGTTGGAACAGGCAGAACTGCTGATTCACATGAAAGGGTAGATGTGGACGGGATGGATGTGTCTGGCACGTGTTTTGATTGCACGATGCGTGGGGCTCCAATTGCATCACCAAAATCGCCTCGTATTGGTCTGCAACCAGGATTAGTCACTGCTTTGACAGGGAATGTGCAGTCACAACCCACGAATGGTGGGGCCTGGTCCTCAAAGATTCCCTGAAGCCACAACATTGGACTTGTTGATACAGTGGGATGTGCTTGTCATTCACATAGCACGGCAGGCTGTGGGGTCAAAGTGCATGAGCACACGATGTTGCTGGACAAACCTACTAATGGCACAGTTCGACACGTCCAGGCCCAATCAACTTGTTCAAATTGCATATTTTGAACCATAGAAGGTTGAGCCGGCAGATGCACTATATCCAGTTACATTGACTCCCACTTGATCGTATAAGCCACTTTTCTGGGTTACCAGTGAGGGCCACTCACCTCTGAAATGTGCCAAAGTCGCCTTACATGCAGCCAATGCCCGCTTTCTTGGGCCCACCTCTAAACACCGGCAAGATGCGCCCCAGTCCGTCGTTAGCTACGGACGCAGCTCCAACATGTGAAGGATCCTCTGGACTTGATGATCCGTTACAATCCGTTACATTGTTGGGAAGCTTTAGGCCTTAAGGGCCGTCACTGACGTGGAAAGGACGGCAACGGAATCCCATGGGCCGGAATCCTGAATATTCCACGTTTGCCCACCGGCTGTCGCCCTTTCCCGTATCGTCCGCTGCAAGGGCCCAAGGGCCTCATCTGGGGAAAGGGCGATGAAATTCCGCCCAATTTGGTTGCTTGTTTTGCCGTTTCACGGACGATATAATTACTGGCCCCCTCTCTTTCGGAGGTGTATTTAGCCAGTACCAAAAACGGCTGCTTCCAGTACCAAATTTCAGCCAGTACCAAAAGTGAATGCTCCCAGTACCAAATCCGCCCCAGTACCAAAAACGGCTGCTTCCAGCACCAAAAACGGCTGCCGCCAGTACCAAATCGCCCCAGTACCAAAAACAGCTGCTCCCAGTACCAAATATAGCTGCGCCCAGTACCAAACTAACGACAGCTATTTCGAGGACGGGGCTGTGGAGCAACAGGCGGCAGGGCACCCAGGCCTATTCCCAGCGACGCCCCAACGGAGAACGCCGAAGCCATCGACGCCGCAGCGCAAAAACGTGACGAGGATCCCGAAGCCAGCGATGCCGCGGCGCCAAAACGCGACGAGAATGCCAAACCCAGCGAACACGCAACGCAAGACGCAAGCCGAAACAATTGGCACTTGACCGGTCACTGAAACGTCAACTTAGAAACGCAACTTGTTTCAAAGCTCGGCAGCCGCAAGACTACGTATTTGGAACCACGATCTGCAGATCCCCCCGCTCCCGTCGCCACGCGAGCACTAGGAATCCTCGCCGATGCTCTCGATCCCCATCCGCGTGGGCGCTGAATGCAGCCGCCGCTGCCGGACGCTCCATATGGCCTCGCGCGACGGTGGAGGGGCGCACAGCCCCTGTCTTCGTTGCTTTGCGTCGCCCAAGGTCGCACTAGTGAGGCAGGCGAGTCGCCTTGGGCGAGTCAAGGTTACGGATGATTTGGTACTGGGCGCAGCTATATTTGGTACTGGGAGCAGCCGTTTTTGGTACTGGGGCGATTTGGTACTGGCGGCAGCCGTTTTTGGTGCTGGAAGCAGCCGTTTTTGGTACTGGGGCGGATTTGGTACTGGGAGCATTCACTTTTGGTACTGGCTGAAATTTGGTACTGGAAGCAGCCGTTTTTGGTACTGGGGAAATATATCTTCCTCTCTTTCCCCCCCTTCCCTCCTTGGACCTCTGGGTCAGTTTGCCGCCACCGGAGGCGCTGCTCGGATACACGCGGACCCATGGACGAAGAACCGGCGCCGGAGCCCGGCTCTCCCGCGCCGTCCGGCGACGGCAACGAGTCGCCCGGCGAGGAGCTGTCCAGCCTGCAGCTGGCGGTGGACACCCTGACGTGCTTTCCGGACGTGCTGGACCACGACACCAAGGGTGAGGAGGACCTCGGCGACTCTGGCGACTACGAACAGGTGTGTTCGAGTCCCTCGGTTGCGTTTGTCGAAAGTGACAGAGCACAGCCTCTGCATCCGCGCGCGGAGTGTGTAGGATGCCATGGGCATTGAGGCCAATGGGCGAAATTGAATGCATGTGCAAAGCGCTGGGTTTGACGACGAGGGGGACCCGATGAACCGCCGTATATCTTCAGTCAAGAGGAGGGATAAAGCGTCACGCACATTGTGCCGCCATCGCGAGCAAGAGCTTGGTGGGCTCAATTGTGTGGTGTAAAGTGTGATACACAAGAACTGCCCAAAAGCGACAGGAACAGCAATGCAGAGACCTCGGGTCACCCTTTCCACGTCCTCGCTTTCGCAGCGCAATCTAAGAACCATTTCTGGCACAGGATCATGTAGGGGTGACAACAGTCTCTAATGGGATGGAAATGTGGGCATCCAATTCCCCCCTCTCCCCTTGGACGAGAATTTTGTGAGACTGGCGACCATGCTGTAGAAGATGAAACGCAACATTTCATGTAAAGCTCCAGGGATGGGCCTCTGGTGATGGTATACAAATGGGCTTTCGACATGCATTCCTGGCCTTTATGTTGGAGGTTGGCTGTGTTGTTGCCATGCGGCTTCTGTGACATGTGCAGCATCTCGTCTTGATCGCTCAAATTCCGTTCTTTCAGAGACCTGTGTTCGTTGAATTTGATATTGGTCAGCACATTCAAGATTCCAGCCTATGAATTCCTTGGAATACGTGTCCTTCATATAGAGGAGCTGTCCCCCTTGCAACTTGAAAGCAGTTTTGATCCCCACTGTGCCCCCCAAAGTCCTGTTTGTTCCCTGTTCATATCCGTGTACTCCACACAATGCATTTGAACTTCCAAATTAGGCTTTTGCAGAGCATGGCAGACGCACTGATGAATTGAGTTTGGGCTGTTTCTTTTCACCTTCCGTGCTTGCTGATGCATTGCCCCAGGTGGCAGAATAAGGGCGTGCGATTCCTATCAAGAGTGCAGAAAATGGGAACATCAGTCTGCCAGAGTTTTCCAAACATCTGTGGAAAGCAGCCCTGCCTGTGCATCCCCTCTTCATTTGCAGTGCTGCTCAGTGGGGCGGCGTTGGACCATTTCACAGTTGTGGTGATAGTTTTAAGGGGCGAGTTAGTGTTCTGACACTGGACACTGGGATTGTGGTGCAACATTTTCTGGTGTTGGGCATCCTGCTTCAAGCCCCAAGGGTTCCCATGAGCCACCTCACAGATTGTTCCCCTGCAATGCAGTTCGATGTCGGCACATTTGACTTTCGGATGCGGAGCTTCCTGAAGCGGCAGGTCAAGAAGCATCTGTTCAAAGTCACACACAAGAGGATCAAATTTGGTGACAAGATTGCATTTGTGCTGGGTACCGTCAATCTGTGGTGAGTCAAAAGATCAACATTGAACAGAGCTGTTGAATTGTGATGTGGCACTGCCCTGTTGCCTCAAATGTGTCGGGCACTCTTCACAGGCACAAGAATGGGCACCCCCTTGAGTATGCTGGTATTGCTTTCAGCATATCCTGCATATGCACTGTTCCGCTGCCTCTCAACCCTAAGAAGCTTTTCTGTGGCAGCGATCTTGGCAAATCTGATTATCAGGTGTGGGATGCAATGTTCCTTTGGATGGCTGGTCACCTATCATTGCTAAATCAGGCCCCGTACTGTATTGAGGAAAGGATGAGCATCCATGAAGCACAGATTGGAACGACAATGCTTGCTTCCTTGCACCAGCAAGTACACCCCAAGCTGCCAAATCAATGCCATGGCCATAGTTGCCTGCTGCTGCCTGCCAGAAGCACAATGACAGTGTTCTGTCAGATATTGGCTTGCGTTTGGAAAGAATTTCCCAATGCCAGGATGCATCAATTCAAGTCAGTCCATCTTCCTGGTTTGCAAAGACTCAAATGGCGTTGTGCTGCCTACTTCATCGTACACATTTAGCATGCGCTATGTACGCGGTGCCCCAGCAGAAATGGAGCTTTGACTCTGGCTTTTGATTTGCAAATGGCAGACGTGTGAATGACACGCAGGACACAATGTTGAGGCTCCCAAGTGTGCACATGAATTCCTGATGATGCAATGACAGTGGTGTAGATAGTGCAAGCAGTATTGTGCTCCTCTGAAAGTCGCACAGAAACACGGTGGCCCCATCATGTGAAGTTGTATCCCAAAATGTCAGCCTTGAAGAATTTGTGCCACCCCTGTTGCAGGCTATGTGCATACTGGCTAGGCTGCTGTCGCAGCACATTCCACAAGACGTACTCTGCGAAGGCTGTGTTCCTCTTCACCACTCGATTCTTGCTGTACAAGCAGCAGAAGATGCACTACTACTTCTTTGACTTCTGTTACTTTGCAAATGGCCTGCTGCTGTTTAGCTTGTGGGTAATGCCCACTTCAGCATTCCTCTTCAAGGTGTGTGTACCTGATGCTGGTGCACAAACGGCAAATCTCTGGCATCGCCTTGCGCAAGTTTGCTTACAACTCGTTGCAATTTAATTGTGCAAGAATGGTTGTTCACGGCCATTCTCCACTTGTGATCTTGGAGGATTGCTGTGGAGCTAAGCTTCGCGTTATTGCGCTAGTTTGAGAAGCGGTGGCATTCTTGTTTGGGCACTGTGGCCCTACCTTCATTGACATCGTCTTCTCATCAACGACTTACAACTGACAATAGCTTTGATTGTCTTGCCACCACTTGGCAATACACTGTCCCTGGAGCTTCAAAAGGATAAAGCCAGTGAATGGGCGATGCAGTAGTTCTGACATAGGCAATTGGTGGGAGCCAAAGGACATCTCAGCTGCTGTCTTGTTGTTCAGTACTGTGTACCACAGCAAATGCTACGGAATACTCTGTAGAGTTTCTGGTGTAAGATGGGAGACATTATCAGAGATAAGCTAAATGGCAAGCAGCAGTTAACCAAAACAGGCTGCAATGTGGATTTGGAAAGAGCTTTGCAAACTTGTATCTACTGGCCAGGCCAGGCGGCCTTGAGCTCAGATGGATATAATTTGCCATGGCACAAGGGAGGGATGCAGCAGCGCAGAAGATAGGAACTCATGCGCTGTCCAGCACATCATGTTGTACATGCTATCGTGTACAGATTCTCATCCAGCCTGGAGCGATTGAAACAGTCACATCCAGAAAATGGCACCCCATAAATTACTCTTGGTTTGCTACAACCTCCAGTATTCGCTTGTCAATGCAGGTGTGCTTTGCCTACAACACAGGCATTTTGGCTTGGTCCATCCTTGCCTTTCGCAACTCGCTGGTCTTCCATAGTCTGGACAAGGTAATGAATGCATCACCATGAACGTGGTCATGTACAGAGAACTGTTGTATGCCAGCGGCTCTCGGGCTCAAATTTCCGCAGTGTGCTGATGGTGCCTGGCCTGCAAATGTGCAGCAGAGTGTCAACTGCTGAAGCCCTTCCATTGCAAGCATTTTTTTTTGATTTCTTTTATGAATAACCATGTACTTTTGATGTCATGTGTTGTTGGCAAGCACGCACCACTCATAATTGCAACCTGCCACTGACTTTCACGTATCTGAACAGTGTCCAGTACATAACAGAAGCCCGCAACAGGTTTAATGAGGTTGAGAGCGCCCTGCATACTGATTGTGGGTTTGATGGACATGCCTCCATGCCAATAACTTCTGCAGCATGAATGGCAACACTTGCCCAAGAGCGCATGAAATGCTCTCAATGTTTGGTATGATGTTGGACATTGGTGTTTTACTGACATAACATTTTTGTATCAAATGTCACAAGTTAGCCCAACAAGTGGCAGGTCAATATTAGACATGATGTTGAGACCTTGCTCTTCATCTGCTTGTCTAGGGCAAACAATGAGTTCTGCTGTCCACAGCACCTATAAAAGGAAACAAGTGCTGTGGTGACAGCAGTGTACAGCACTGCCCTTGCTGTTTGAAAAATGCCACAGATGAGAGTGGGTGTGATGATATTCCCTGCTGCGATTGCCTGATGCAGCCCCATTTGGTAGCACGCGTACTGCAACAACTACGATGCTATTCAGATGTGGTTACCAGCAATTTGGCACAGTTGCAGAATGAGCACCTTCTGTTTACTGGCCACCTTCTGCCGATGGCTTGTTGTTGACCCAGTTTGTGCCTGCTACTGTTAGGTCACGTCACTTTTTCTACACTACGAGCCCATGATCGTGTCTTGGACCCTGCGATGGTACCCTGATTGTGAACTTCTGGGGAATTGCACCACAGATGGAAGGTGCGCTGCGCCTTTCTGCTGTGGAAAACACTCAATAGCGTACATCGATGGTGTGAATAAATCAGGAATTGTACTGAGCTATTGGGAATCTAAATCAAGGCTTAGACTGATAATTTGTCACCTTCTGGCAGGCTGGGACTGCGGCCAATCGATCTGCGCGATGCAGCAGGAGTTAGCTATGCATATCCTGTGGTTTGTGCGCTGGACGTGCTTCAAAATGTACCACATGATTGTGCTGTTCCGGAGTGCATCAGGAAACGTGGAACTCGTTGGAAAATATTGGCACATAATGTGCCACACTGACTGCAGACTGCGCTGGATTGAGCCGGATTGCGTCAGTGTATTGGAGGCTGCATTGGACGAACCGCAAGAAGTTTTTTGTTTTTTGTGAACAGAATTGCATCGGAACAGGCAACAGCCGCTGAGCTGCTGCTGTACCCCATACCTTTTTACCTCTTGTGGGCCACGATTTACTATTTGAAGATCTTTGTCTTCTCTGAGAAGAAGATTCAGGAGCGGGGATATTCAACGCTGTTCAAATACATGACATCAAACAAGAAGAGCGGCTTTGCCAAATTCGTCCTGAGGTAACCTTGCAGTCCTGTACATTAGCTGTTTGTACAGTTTCAGAGATAGGTGAAAGGAATAGCCGTTGTCAAACGAATGGTGTATGGCATCACATGCGAGGAGCAATGACTGTGATTTGTCAACTCATGGCGGTTGCAGTCAAATGAATTGTTCATCAGTTGGCAATGCCAGCCTCTATCTATAGACACGGGGTCTGTCAGCGAGTGCAGGACTGAGCGGTGGATATCCGCCTTCCAGGCACTGTCTGGTGCCGAGCCGTCTGGATGGACGTGCAGCTTCTTTCAGCGCCAATCTGCAATCTTGGCAGCACTGCGCAACAAGGACGGTACAGCTATTGTTTTGCAACAACTTGACATGGACTAATTGCATAAATATCAAGCACCAAAGCATTCGCATCGTCGTCGTATCCGCATTCGTATCTCTCATCGACGTTGAGCAAGGTGATAAGGAGAGAGGATGGCTGCTCACTGTTCCCTTCTGATCAAAGCAATTGAGTTCACAGTCAGTTGAGATACCCGGTTCTGGAAAGTTGATTGCAATCGCACAATCTGGTTCTCTTTCAGAGCATTGCACATCCCTCACACGATTAAGCGGAATTTTGCAAGTCCTAGCCGCTGAACGACATCGTGCAAAATAATAATTAAAGAATATGTCGCCTGCATCAGTCAAATTTGCAGGTGAGAGCAGCGAGTTCGTGTTCTCCACAGGTTTCCGCATAGATGGCAGCCTGTCGTCTTCCTTGGCTTCCACCTGACCTTTTTCATGACCGCCCTGGTTTTCGTTTTCTTCTGCTGGCGGTCGTACTGGGCGCACACCGCGCTCATCAGCTGCCTCTCCTTCGTGTCCGTTTGGAACGGCGCCAATTTCTACTTCGAGGTGTTTGCCACCAAGTACATGAAGACAGTCGAGACTAGAGTCGCGGAAAAGAAGCAAGACTGAAATTTGCCGCATTCTGTGGCCAGCTTCGGTCCAAACATTGGCCATGGAGTCGCTTTTGTGCGTTCAAAGCCAACTCTCGTCTTCTTCTCCTTTGTAGTTCGTTTTCCTTCACCGTTTTTCGGAGTTGTGTGCAATGGTGGGAGGGGAAATATGTGTCATGGAACATGGCACCCTTGGGGCACCCCGCCTGGCCGTCGAATCTTGCGCATGGGCGGTGTTGTGTGGTCCATTGATTGTGGGTGGTTGAATTCCATTGTAGCTCCTTATTGCGCTGTCACTGCCATTGACATGCTTTCCTCCCACGGTTCTGATGGAGGTGATGGGGGATGGTGGGTCAACGGCACGTTGAATGCATAGCGCTCTCCCTGGGGGTGGCCCTGGAGTGCGTTTTTGACTATGATTCCGCTACTTCGTAACTGGAGGTGGCCGGAATTATTGTGCGTACTATGGGGGATTGGAGTGTTGCCTTTGTACAAAAGTGCATGTACAACAAGGGGCAGCGTCCCACCCTTCTGTCCACTCGTGGTGGCACACCATTAGCTGATCTGTGACGCCTCCGTCGTCGCCTGCGTGTCTAGATGGCGTTTTGATCGGAGTGTGCGCTTCTAAAAGGTCTGTTAAAAGTGAGATAGCGACAGGGCGAAAACAGAACGAGGTTTGGATGCGCCTTCCAAGGAATTTGGAATGGTGTGCGTCTATTAATTCCATGTTTGGAGCCTGTTGAACAAGCAGACGATCTGCAAGGAAACGAAAATGACGCTGCCTGTTCGGTACTCCATGTGGCTAACAAACTCACGCTCTGCGATGCACCGCAGAGTGTGAACCATCGTTCCTGAACGATGGTTATGTGGTAAATATGCTACCATGTGAGGGCTCTCTGGAATGAAGGCACGGCAAGGGCTGTGCAAATCATCATTACTAGGAAAGTGCTGTGGGGGCTTGGCGGGCGCTAAAAGGCCGCTCGGTCTCCGACTGACCAAACCATGCAAAGGGGATAGCATGCCATTGCACGCGGAAGGTTTTGGGTGCATCTTGCGCTCCTGGACAGAAATGCGGTAGCTGTGGACCATGGCAGAGTGCTCATCTGCAGCCAGTCTAGAAGTGAGGGCGACGACAATGCTATCCATCCATCGTGGCACTACCTGATGTTTCGTTCGCTTGTCTGAATTTGGGCCTTGAGTACGCCATCGAGGCTAGGCCGTCGCCGTTGTTGTGCTGACTCATCCGGGTGCCAATTGAGCCTTGCGGGTGAAGCATGAAGCAAGTAGAGGACAGGCGAGTTTGGGCGCTTGCGGGCAATGGCTGGGCAGCTGTTCGCAAGGACAGCAAATCATCTGGAGAGGACATGCTCTGGGTAGAACCCCTCTCCTGCGTGGAGCATGGCATGCAGCAAACCCTGGAACATTATCTCCATGTGCAATGGTATGCGTGGTGGTCCGTAAACAGACATGGACGTTGTGATGTATTGGCCTGCATGAGGCGCGACGCATGTTGTGCTTGTCATTTGTGCATGGAGCTCTGCATTTGCTAGCCGAACCATTGGCGAAAAGCACCATCACCGCCGGTGAAGGCGCAATGTCAGTGTCAAGCCCCGCGGCGAGCGGTGCAGTGCCCAAGATCAACTTTCGTGCGGAGCACGCTAGAGGGGGTTCCCCTCCGCTTAGCCTCAGTCAGGCTTGGTTTTTACACCGTAAAAACTGATCGTATTTACGTTTTTATGCGTAAAAATAGTTTTTACGTTTTTACGCGTAGAAATGCGTAAAAATACGTAAATACAACGTAAAAACTGCCTGGTGTACATAAGGACAGTACATACAGATTTACAGAGTCCAGAGAGTGGCAGCCAGACCCCTTGGAAGAGGCAGAAGATGAGTTTTTGTTAAACGCCATTATCGCCATTGCCAAGGGCGAGGTGGACATTTTGTTACGGGTGCTGGAGATGGCGGAGGACTGATCATTGTACGCAACTTTTATCGTGTAATCTACGTGTGCCAGGGAGCCGTGAAAACGTAAAAATGGTCGTAAAAATAGGGCCTTTTGAGGATTTACGTTTTTATGCGGTAAAACGTAAATGTAAATGTAAAAACCAAGCCTGGCCTCAGTCCTTATTGTGATGCCCTGGGAATACTCAAGGGCAGTGCATGGTACTGAGCGACAGCGCTGCGCAAGTTCTGGCGCTCGTTGGCTGGGCTATCACAGTAATTCTGGATGGTTTGAACATATGGTCTGTGTAGCACAGAGTGTTCTAACGTCAGAATGGTGTCCTCACCACTTGCGGCGATGTGCTTCAAAGGGATGCTCCTCCGCCATGCGCTTTTGTGGGCCCTAAGGGAGATGCTTTCCTAAACCGTCTCTTTCAGGAAGGTCGCCATCAGAAAACATCGGATGTGGGGATGGTCCACGGATGGGCAACGTCGACCCCATTCTGGCGGGCTTCGGCACAATCTATATGGGTCAAACGCAATGTGCACGTCTGTGAAACCATTGCCGAAACCATTCTATCATCCCAAGTCTGGATTACAAACGACACAGCATGCAAGCACACATGCCCTGGAGTCATCCGTCCGCAATGTAGCGGTGGTCCAGCTCAGATTTCGGAAAGTTCCAGCGCTGAGCCTTCAACAGCCGCGCTGATCCATTGGATTAACATTGGCAACGTCAAGCTCCGGTAGGCGTACTGATGGGATCCTCGTCTGTGCACAACTTGCATGTTTTCCCATTCCTAATGGCGCTGTTCACAAAGTGAAGGCTCGCGAAAATCAGTTCCTGCATGCTGGCCAGGCTGCACGATCGTCATTGTCGTCATTGTTCCCCTTCATATAATCTATTCGCCCCGCCTGACAGCCTGGCGTGCCAGAAATCCAGAATGGTGCGCACTCCCCAGGGGCTCAGCGCAACAACACTCGGCTCGTACTCAGGTCCAGGCCCTTACCGCCGCGCTGCTTTTCGAGGCCGGTGGGTGGCCGGGGCCGAACAGCGCGGTTGGCTCCTGCCCGTTGAATCGCGCTGCCTGGGGCGAGATCCGTCGGCGGATGGCTTGCCAAATCCTCTCCATCCAATCTTGCCACGTCGCGTGACTCGGGATCACTGAACCAGGGGGGCTGTGGAGCGATGGTGCCCGATGTGCAGGGCTCTTCGCGGGCGCCCAGCATTTCGGAAGACACTCTTGTGGACGCGTTGATCGCATGCTGCAGGGAGGTGAGGTTTGGCACAAATCCGCAGCCAGGTAGTGGACATGGAAATCAGGCTTGGAAATCTGTTTTTCATTGCATGTGCCTGTTCAGGACGGGCGTTGCCCTTGCGGGCCTACAAGCCGTGACGGTTGCTTGTGCGTGTTTGTTCCCCAATGGCTTGCGGTGCACACATTCATAAGCGTACACAATCGTATGCGTTTGCAGTACTCTCACTCTGTTGCATGGTTGCTCAGAATTCATCCTCTTGCGTGCTTGTGAGCCATGAAGAAAAAGGATATGTCGGCTCTCTCCAGTGGCTAAGCCCACTCTGCTGTGATTGGAACCTGGTTCTGATTCAGCATCAGTCCTGAGTGGGGGCATTTGACACGACATTTTTGTTTCGTTACACTTTCACATAGTGCATGAGAGGTGTCCAAACAATTTTCCGTGAGAGCCATTGAGGTATGGCCATATTCGAGTTCCATTGTTCTCAGGACATCGAGAAGATCGCCTTGGCTGAGGCCACAGACCAGCACTGCCCCCTGCA